GACTTGGCTGGTTATTGGGCTGTTAGGGGCCAACTTGGGGACCTGGCTGAGCCTTTCCTTTTCCCTAGGCTTCATGATGTCCTGCATAGTGACAAGAAGCTGACATTGGTTTTTGAGTTCTGTGATCAGGTAAAGAGGGGCTTGGGGGAGGGCAGTAACCATGGGAGAGTATAGGAGCCCAGGCTGAGGTTAAACTCTATACTCTTCTCACTCTCGTCCCTGTTTAGGACCTGAAGAAGTATTTTGACAGCTGCAATGGTGACCTGGACCCTGAGATTGTGAAGGTGAGGGGAGGCATGCCCTGGGGAGGCTGGGGTGTGCCTACATGTAGTGTCAGCATTCCTTGGGTGCCAGAGGAACCCTGTCTCTATCCTGCAGGGGTCTCCAATCTTGCCAAACATCTTTATGTGGTCTCCTTTGCACGGTATCTGTGTCAATGATGTCATTTGCACTTGAAAGACGAGACACATAGAGAAATATGGATTCAGCAGATACCAGCCCTGCATAGTGGCACACACCTCTAACCCTAACAAAAAGCTGAAGCAGGAGTATCTCTACTTCAAGGCCAGTCTGAGCTACATAGCAGGGCCTTGTCTTAAATATCAAAACAAAGCAAACAGAGAAACCAAATACTGAAGGTTTTGCTGTACACCAGGGACTTTCTAGACCTAAGGCCAAGTGCCTTGGCCCAGGTTTCAGGGAAAATAGGTCTTGAGTAATACAGTTGCATTGTATTTGTATTGATAGTCACACAGACATGCTCAAGTGCAGCTTGGTAGGGAGGACCAGCTTGGGCTGGGAATGGAGGAAGGCCCAGTAGCCAATAAAGTTTAGAAGGTGAGGAGTGAGGCTGACTTGTTTACTGTTGTACCTTTACTGTCTAGCACCCTGTGAAGCACATTCTCAAAAGTAACTGGATAGATGCCAGAGAGATGGTTCAGCAGCTTAGAAATGCTTGTTGCTTTTGGACCTGATGCCCTCTTATGGCCTCCTTAGGCACCCATACACAGGTGGCATCCATTCATACACACACACACACACACACACACACACACACATGCATAAATGAAAATAACTAAATGGCAACTGGATGGACTGCTAGATTTCTTGGTATAAGTTGGATGGGCACAGCAGAGGGAACAAGACCCACTGCCTGGCCCAGCCTCGCTCACACATACTGGGTCTGACTCCTTCCTTCCTGCCCCTCCCCCAGTCATTCCTCTTCCAGCTGCTGAAAGGCCTGGGATTCTGTCATAGCCGAAATGTGCTGCACAGGGACCTGAAGCCCCAGAACCTGCTCATAAACAGGGTACTGCTCTGGGAACAGGGCAAGAATGTAAAAGCTGGGGCCAGGGCTGGGGGGACTGAGAGGGCCAGGATTGGGGAGGGAAACTGGAGCCTGACTCAAACCATTTAAAAGTCCTGCATGTCACCTTGTTCTCATCTCCCCTCAGAATGGGGAGTTGAAATTGGCTGATTTCGGCTTGGCTCGAGCCTTCGGTATTCCAGTGCGCTGTTACTCAGCTGAGGTGAGCCTGGGAGGTGGGATATGAGGTTGAAGAGAGGGAGCCCCTATTAGCATCTCTCAGCCCTTACTGTAGAACCCTCTCCGAGCCTCTTTGTGGAACCTCTTCCCAGCTGTCTAAGTGGGGGGTCCCTGTGGGTGGGGTCTTCTCCAGGTGGTCACGCTGTGGTACCGCCCTCCGGATGTCCTCTTTGGGGCCAAGCTGTACTCCACGTCCATCGACATGTGGTCAGCCGGCTGCATCTTTGCAGGTGACACACTTGGGGCTCTGCAGTGGCACTTTCTTTCCCAATTGGGTTGATGGATAGGGTCTGGAGGATCTCCTGTGAGGGAAGGGAGAGGGCCGCTGGGGCTGGGACTGGAACGTACAGGGGGTGCTTCAGAGTGAGGGGTCCTTCACGCTGTTTTTTGTCCCCCTCTTCCCAGAGCTGGCTAATGCGGGGCGGCCTCTCTTCCCTGGCAATGATGTAGATGACCAGCTGAAGAGGATCTTCCGATATCCTTCAAGTGCCCTTGGCTGTCTCTCCTTCGCCCACTGTCTCTAACCTCTCTCCAGAAGGAGAGTGGCCAAAGCTTGTCCCCTCCTATTGTCCCTGCACAGGTGCATGCTGTGGAGAGGTGTGACCTGTAGGCAAGGAGGGTGCATCTGATGAGGCAGCTAGAGGATGTACCCGTAGGCCGTAGGATGGAGGAGCAGGGGTTCTGGAAGAAGGGGTTGAATTTCCTCAGTCCACTGTAAATACCACACAGGTGGGGTTCATCTCAGGCTGGGCTAGGGGATAGAGTAAGATGGGGTGAGAGGAGGGTGGGCAAGGGTGAGGCATCCTCCCCCTGCCCCTGAGGTACAGGCGCAGCCCTCCCCGTGAGTAACCCTTGACCCCATGGACACACTGCTAGGGACGCCGACTGAGGAGCAGTGGCCTGCCATGACCAAGCTGCCAGACTATAAGGTGCGAGTGGCTGTGGGAGGTCTTTTCTTTCCCAACCCCATACTCCATACCTCTGGCCTGATTCCCTGTTCCTCCTCTGCAGCCCTACCCCATGTACCCAGCCACGACATCCCTGGTGAATGTCGTACCGAAGCTCAACGCCACAGGAAGAGACCTGCTGCAGGTAGGTGCTCAGGGGTGGGGCATTTGCCCAGAGTTGGAAATTTGGGGATCGCGTTGCTTGTCCCGAAGAACAAGGTGAGGGTGGGTGCTGAGCTGCTGCCCTGGGCTGAGCCTGCCTCTGACTTTCCTCCCACCTGCAGAACCTCCTGAAGTGTAACCCTGTGCAGCGCATCTCAGCAGAGGAGGCATTGCAACACCCCTACTTCTCTGATTTCTGTCCTCCCTAGGCCTTGGAACCCTTGGTGACCAGGCTGGGGCCTGGCCTATTTAAGCCCCCCTCCAGGGAGGGGTGGAAAAGTGGGGTGTGGGATGCTGAGCACCAGCTGTGCTGGGCCCAGCCAGGGTGGAGGCACCCTGGCCCACTGGACTTCACTCCCCTCCATGGACTTTATTTAATTTCATAAATTGGCTCCTTTCCCACAGTCTGTTGATGTGGTAGTGGGGTGGCTCTGGAGGGTGGCTGGGGACTCTGCTTCTCTGTGTCCTAAGACCAGGGGCAGGAAGCCATGATCTCTAACTTTTTGGCTGGGGTCATGGCAGCCCTGTCTCCATACACGTTTATATGGTCCTGCACACCTTTCCCCTCTGCCTAGAAGGACCAGACACAGTCCCGTGGTAGGAGGCTGCTGGCCCATGAATGCAAAGTTAAACTTCCACCAGAAAGAGGAGACAGGGCCAGGCCTCTTTTGGGGTCTCTCCACATCCCATGTGGACCCTTCCAACTCCATCTGCTCATACTCAGAGTTGTAGGCTAGGGCAGGAGAGATCCAGTGCTGTGGTTTATAGGAATACCCTTCCCAGTTCCTGTTTGCCAGTTTTCCAAAGGTCGAAGTGCATTGGAAGAGGGAAATTGCAGCTGAGGTAGAGGCTCAGTGGTGCCCTCTTGGCAGGAAGGGGAAGAGAGGGCTCCCCCAGTCCCACTATGTCACACAGGCTGTCAGCTCCTGTGTAGAGGTTGGTAAGGCAAAGACTGTCCAATAGTGTGCTACCCTCAGTCCTGAATGAGAAAAGGGATCATGACCTTTGAAGGCAGGATACCAGTTTGTGTTCTTGCAAGTGGAGTGACCCCTCTGGTGTCCCAATGTCACCTCCTCCTCCTTGCTGAGCTTCCGGTTAGAGCCTTATTCCAGCTATTCTCTGTTGATACAGTGAGTACCTATTGGCCATATCCTCTCTGTGCCATCACACCTGAGCTCTGGGTTTGGGGGAGACCTGCCTTCCTTCTTAGATATTGGTAGGAGCTGGGCCTGGTGCTAAAGGCCTGTAACCAAAGCTACCAAAGAGGCTGTGATTCAAGGTACTCGAGGCTGAGGCAGGAAAACTGCAAGGCGAGTATAGGCTGCACAGAGTTCAGGGTCTGTCTGGGAACTTAATATGATCTTAGTTCCGAATACAAAAATATAAAGAGGGTTGAGAGCCAAACATGGTGGTATATGCCTGTAATCATCTCAGCATTTGGGAGGTGGAGGCAGCAGATTAAGGCTTCAAGATCACCCTTAGCTATGTAGTTCAAAGCCAGCCTGAGGTACACGAGACCCTGTCTCAAAACAACAAAAGTAGCACTGGAAAGATGGGTCAGCGGTTAAGAGCCCTGGCTATAGAGAACCCAGGTTTGGTTCCCAGCACCCACATGGCAGCTCACAACCACCTGTAACTCCAGTTCCAGGGGATCTGATGCCCTCTTCTGACCTCCGTAGGCATTGCACAACATGGGTACACTTACATATGTGCGGGCAATATACCCATACACATAAAATAATAAAATTATTAAACAATAACAAAAAAGTGTTGGGAATGTAGCTCAGTGCTAAAACACTTGCGTAGCAAGACTCTTCCAGGCCCTGGAGTTTAATCTCCATTGCTCAAGAAAAAGAAAAGAAAGGGAGTCAGATAAACTTGTTAACACTAAGGTAACTGATAGCTTCCTACAATCATCTTCCCCAAGGGGTTTGTGAGGCCTAAGTGAGCCCAGCCCCAGGTGGACAATGACTGACAGAAAGGACTTCCTGTATTGGTTCTGCTAGTGTCAGACCTGTAAGAGAAACACTGAGGCAGATGCACTACAGCTTTATTAGAGTGAAGACAGGAAAGAGGCATATGCTGGACATACAGGATTTCATGGTGCGGCCCTGAGGTCACAGATAGCAGGTCTAGAGCCTTGTGACAAGGTAACAGGTGCGGTGGGAGGCAGAGAGAGTCTTGGTGACAGCACAAGGATGGGTGGGAGGCCTGGTGGGACAAGCCACAGCATTGGGGCAAGACCCCTTCACCTATTCTGCCCTCTTGGACCTGAACCTCACCTTTTGGACCTGCCCTCCCCCTCCTCCCTTGACCATAGGGGGCACATTTAATGGTACCTGGGGCCCAGGCTGTGGTGGGGAATGTGCGTTCCATGGCTGTTCAGCCCTTCCTGAAGCTGTGGGAGGAGGAAGGGTCAGGTGGGGACTGGCCAAGATGACTGCACATTGCTACTGGGCTTGGGCTGGGCCTATACTACTAGAGGTGGGAGAGGAAAAGAGGGTTGTTACCAGAGAGCTGCCAGAGCGCCTTTGGGAGCTCCTTCGGTTCCAAAAATACCCTAGGACTTTGTCATGGAAAACCTGGGGGGCAAGCAACAGGGGTAGATGGCCAGCACCCACCTTCTCCCTTGACACTACTATTCTGATCTCCCATCCCCTGGTTGAGGGCCTTTCCCACCTCACAGAGGTAGTCGAGGATCTCGAGGATGGTAAGCAGGCTGGCTCCAATGAACAGTCCCATCTGGCCCCCAATGTCGCCTGTGGAGGCAGAGTACTGTTAGCTCACAGCTATCTGCCCTGCCCACCACTCCACAGACTGGGGCGCTCCGCACATACCCAGCAGTTCTGACACTTCATAGGCCTTCTTCTGCTGCACCGCCTCATAGTTGAGGGCCTCAAAGAAGATGTCGAGGACCAGTACGTTCTCCCTGGAGAAAAGCCCAAACTGTTTGCAGGCCACCACCTGGTGCCAGCAGGAAGTAGGTATGGGTACCACAAGCTACTTTCAAGAGCTTTGGGCTGTTCCCATCCCTCAAGTCGGAAAGTTTAAGCAATTTGTCCACATCCCAGACCCCGTGACAGTGTAGAGATGAGTCTAGCCTGGGCTGTGTGCATAAGAACTCCGACCCTCGGGGCTTGAGCACAGTGCCCACCCGCATCTCCATAGCTATCCCCAGGGCTGCGCTCACGCTATGTAGGCTTCACTGCGGTTGTATTTCCGGGCCAGGTAGCTAGCTGCGGCGCGGCTGGGGATCCGCACCATGGAGAGCTCCTTGGCATAGCGGGTCGTGGCGCATGGATTGGGGCAGGCACACCTGTCCTTCCGCAGCATGGCGTCTGCAGGCCACAGAGATGGCGATCAGGGCCACCTGGTCAGCAGGATTGGGGGTCAAGGACAGGCTGGATGGGGATGGGGAGGCGGAAGAGGCCCGCCCTTACCCAGAGCTGGGCTGGCGCAGTCCTTGTATTGCTGGGGGCTGCACACTGATGCGCTACCTGAGGTGGGAAAATGAGACCCGTTGGGAGCCGAAATGCCCCCTAGGGTATCCCCATCCCCTCTGCCCCTAACAGACCCCAGTCCCTTACCAGGCATATGCATCATTCGACAGCCGCACTTCCGGGCCACATAGCGGGTCTCACAGGCCAGGCGACACCCTATTAAACTATAAGGAGGGCTGGGGTTGGAGCTAGGGGAACCCAGGGGGTCAGAGGGCTCAGGATCAAAGTCGGGGTCCACAGATGCAGTATTGCAGTCGCCCCAGGGCGGTGGCAGGAAGTTCAGCTGTGGAGGGACAAGGTTAAGGAGGCTCTGGAGTAACAAAGGTTTCTGGGGGGGGGGCCCGGGCAGGCAGAGACCCTGTGCTTGGGGTCTGAGGGTCTTCTGGGCAGGGTAGGAGGTACAGGCAGGAGAGCAAACGTACTTGCTGCTGCTGGCAGGACACAAAAGTCTGGTGGCCGGGGGCTGCCCCAAAGCCCAGCTGGTCGATGGCAGGGGGCTCCTCCTGGCTGTGAATCTGCGCTCGGATCCCCACCTCAAACGGGGTCTCTTCTGCAGGGAGGGGCCTTTAAGGCCCCAGACACCCCCGCCCCCAGGGCAGACTCCCTTGGCAGCCCTTCTACCCAAGATTGGGAGGAGTCAAAAGACATGCTTCAGGACCCTTTGCTAGCACTCCCCCCCTCCTTCCATGGTCTCTGCACCCTTTCTGCAACCCTAGCATCCCACACCCTCATCCCCCCTCACAGGCACAAGCCCCCAGCCTTGCCTGTGCCCCTCACCCATGTCTCTCCACACCGGCAGATACTCTTCCTGCTGCACATCCAACATGACTTCTAAGCCGTTGCCAGCACCGCCCTTTGGAGTGGTGAGCAACTCTGCCCCACGGGCACCAGAGTTGAATGTGTAGCACTGCCCCATCCGAGTGAAGGTCTGGAGACAGTCAGAGTGAGAGCCCTTATCTCAAACAAGTCCTTGGCATGGGCCCAATCCTCTTCTTGCGCCCCACTTTGATTTTTAATTTATTTTTAAAATATTTTATTTACTGTTTTTGTTCTATGTGTATGCGTGTATTGCCTACATGTAGGTAAGTGCACCCGTGTTGTGCAATGCCCGCGGATTTCAGAAGAGGCTGTCAGATCCCCTGGGACTGGAGTTACGGACAGCTGTTAGCTGCCATGTGGGTGCTGGGATTCAAACCTGGGTCTTCTGCAAGGACAGTCAGTGTTCTTAACCACTGAACCATCTCTCCAGCCCCGTGTTTTTATTTTATTTTTTAAAATAAGTAATTTTTTAAAATTTTACTTTTTAAATAGGCCCGCCTGGAATTCACTATGTAGCTGAGGATGACCTTGAACTCCTGATCCTCCTACTTCAGCCTCCCAAGTGCTGAGATTACAGCATGAACAATAATATTCAGTGACAAGTTATTTTTCTCAGTTTTGAAGGCCAGAAGTCCAAGATCAACATGGGGAAGGATTTTTTCCCTCCTGGACATATTACCCAAGCACCTAAGGGTGATCTAGGTGAGTAGGTCTAGGTGACCTAGTTGAATTTCTACCCTGCCTAGAACTCACTACCTATACCAGGCTGGCCTTGATCTCAGAGACCCACCTGCCTCTGCTGGGATCAAAGGTATGCGTCACCTCACCCAGCTTGTTTTTTTGTTTTTTTTTTTCTGAGGCAGAATCTTATGTAGTCCAGGCTGGCCTTGAACTCCTGAACCTCCTGCCTCCAGAATGCTGAAATCACAAACGTGTTACCATATCCACTTACGTTTGGGACTTTTTGTTTGGGTCTCAGGTACCCCAAGCCAATCTTCCCACCCACCTTGCAGGAACTCTGAAGTTCATATCTTAATGCCCTCAACCCCACATGTAGATATGTGAAATGGGGAAACCTCCTTCCTCAATCCAGCTCTTCTGCCTCTCACCAAAGTCCCAGGCACAGACTCCAGGGGTAATTGTGGTGAAAGGAAATGGGCCTATTGCCCTCTTTTGGAATGGCAATAAGACTCTGAGGGGCAAAGGAAATCAAGTCCTCTCCTTGCAGACAGGGGTCTTCTGCCCCAGAATATTCCCAAGGCATCCCTCTGCACCCTAGGAGCAGTGTCCCCACCAGCCAGCTCTTGGCCCTGCAGCCAGCCCAGGTCAGTGCCTGTGCATAGCCATCTTTAGAGAGCCCCTAGAAACAGCTTCCTGGGCTGGATAGAATGGCTTGGTGGACAGAGAACCTGTGGCTGCAGGAAAGAAGGGATGCCCATGCAGAGGGCATTCCCTGACTTTGGGGGAGTTTGGGCTGGCAAGGCTAAAGACTAGTCGTAGGACAGCCAGCTCACCACAGTGAAGTTCTCAGGCCCACAGGGCTGGCCACGGTAGCGACAGTCCAGAAGCATGTCCTCAAGGGAGTGGCCAGCTCGGGTGTAGAGCTGCGCCATGTCGAAGGTGGGACTGGGCATGAAGCCAGGTGGTGTGGGGTTCCGGCCCAGGGCACGAAGGTAGGCAGCGTGCTCAGCGGGGTCCAGGCCCAGCAGTGCCATCCCAGCCCAGTGCAGGTCATTGGGTGTGAGGCGTGAGCGGCGTAGTGGGTTGATGTTGCACAAAGTAACAGCCGGGAAGATGAGCTGGTGACTCTCTCGCTCCTCCAGGGTGGTCTCATGATGAAACTCCCCATAGTAGCGCACACGCTCAGCCACCTGGTAGAGGAATGCAGCCAGCGACAGGAGCACAGCTGTGGCCCACAGCCCGCGGCGCAGGGTTGGGCCTCCGGGGCCAAAGACATGGCCCAGACCGTGCATCGTGCAGCTGTTGGCGAACACTTGGATATCTGAGGCCTGCCGCCTTGGGGCCTCCTCCAGCCCCGAGGGGGGCTTCATGGCTGGAGCCCGGGAAGGGGCAACTGACTGAGTATAGGGCTTAGGAGGAGTGACAGAGGGTGGTTTGTAGGGCTAACGGGTTGAGATGGGATTCAGGAGGTTCGGTAAGGACTGAGGAGGAAAGAAGCGAAGAAGAGGGGAGAGAAGAGAGAGGGGAGCTAAGTCTGAGAGGTGGGGGGAGTACTGGCCTGACAGGACTGAATCAAGAAGCGGTCCAGCTCTGCCTTCCCCAGCACAGGCGTTGACTCCGAGGGCCTGGGGCGGCACAGCAACTAGGTAGGGCGCGGCAGCAGTGGCAGACAGGGGCCGCAGAGCAGTGCTGAGCTGAAGCTGCTGCAGAGGATTGGGTTTCAGCAGTGAGGGGGGTTGAGGGGCCAGCAGAGTAGTCTAGGGGGTGGAGGAAGTCCCTGGAGCCCCAGGCTGAGCCATTAGTGCAGCATGGGGGGGATCATTGCTGTTAGAGACCACAGGCGCCAGGAGGAAACCGCAGCAGTCCTGATTAGGGCTTGAAGGGAACCCAGACATATTGGGGTTGGGGTTGCCATTGGGGTCCTCTAGGCACCCGGTTGCAACCCTCTGTGTCAGAACTGAGGGTCAGCTGCTGACTCTTGGCCCAGATCCTCTCCTGCTTTCTCATGAACCCCACCTGACATCATTTGTTCTTTCAGAGAGTGGACTTGGCTCTTGACCAAAATGGCGAGTGGTGGGAGGCTTGGCATTGGCAGATCTCTTTTGCCTTGCCCCTAGCATCTCAGCGACACTGGCATCCCAGGGCCTTCTTCAGGTCCTATATCCAGGGGCCTTCTGAGCTCTGAGTGTCTTCCTCTCCCCGAGGACCCAGAGCCCACCTCCTCCTCATCCTCAGGCCCTCCTGTCAGCAAGGCTGACCTCAACCACAACGATTGCAGACTCTCCTGCTCCACCCCAGGTATCCAGAGCACCCTGTGATATTACATTTTCCTCTCACTGAACACATTCTAGGGACCATCATGATCTCCAGTACCTGGAAAGCTCCCTCAAAGTGGTCCCATTCCACTATGTGTGGGTACCGTTTCATAATCACATCTCTGGTGACCACTGGGGGAGGGTCCAGGCTTTTTCATATCAATGTTGCTATCAATACGACACAGAGAAACTTCCAGAAGTAGAATCTCAGGGTCAAGAGGCCCCTGCTTTCATCATTTGATAGATGTTACCAAATACCCCACCCCAGGAGCTGTTATGCCATTTTACCTCCCATTAGGGAGTATGCTTGATTCCCACGGGGCTCTTCTAAAGGATGTAACCCCCTACCTACCCCTGAACCAGCTCTACATGTCCTCTGGAAGGCAGAGCCAGCAGTGATGTGAGCAGAGTGGAGATATGTCCCATGATGCATAGGGGAAGATAAGGGGTGTGTGGGTGACTCCCAGTGGAGCTGTCCACAAGGCCAGTGCTAGCTGGCACTGGCATGAGCTGAAGAGGCTGGCAGCCTGAGAGCTCCTGCACAGGGCACTGCCACACCTGGTCCCTGTCACCATCATGCCCTGGCTGAACGAGCTCTCATCTATCCCTACGTATCTGGGAGTTGGGTGAAACTTCCCTGTATGCCCAAGAAGAATCAGGCATATCCATTAATTCACAGAAACTTTCTTAAAATTGTTACTATGTATTTATTTATGGGGGGGGATGCCACAGAGCTCATGTGGAGATAGAGAATAACTTTCTGGAAACTAGTTCTTGCCTTTCGCATGAGTCTTACAAGTTGAACTCGGGTCCTCAGACTTGAGAGGAAGTGCTTTTTATCTGCTGAACCATCTTGCTGGCCCCAGAAATAAATTTCTATTCCATCTCTTTGAAAAGCACTGGAGGCCACTAGCTTCCTGTTTGTGGTTTCTGGCCCTGAGTGGAAGGGCATAGTTCCACCAACCAACCAATCATACCATTTTCCACTGGTCCTCCTAGCAGACCCTCAGTGTTCACAAGTGCAGGCTGCCCCCAGGGTCAGTCACAGGACAGGGAAGTAACATCTTGGGAAGGATGTAACTATAGTGGCTTGTAGCACAGGTATAACTTTCTGGGGCTTATTACACTGTTTTTTTTGGGGGGGGGTCTTTTTGAGACAGGATCTTCCTGTAGCCCCAGCTGGCCTGGAACTCACTATGTAGACCAGGCTGGCCTTGAACTCACAGAGATCTGCCTGCCTCTGCCTCTTGAATGCTGGGACTAAAGGCGTGCACCATCACACCTGGCTACTCTGTGGTTTTTAAGTGCAACACTACAAACTATCCCATTTAACTCTTGGAAGAGGCTTTCAAGGGCAGGCCCAGCCAAGCTGCTGGTCTCTATGGAGCCAGGCCTGGGCGAGGTGACAGGGTCAGGGAGCACACAGCCACAAGGCCGGGAACATTAGCCCTTGACCACATAGTCTCATGCCCCAGTGGGCAGAGAAGGCTGGATGAGAAGCTATCCCGTACCTGTCAGGGGCTGAGAATCTACTGTCACCAAATGGCTTGCAAGCCTAATGGCTGTGCACATGGAACAGAGCCACCTGGCTGGCACGAGCTCGCCGATTCCTCAGTGACTTCATGTTGTACTTTTGTTAATTGTTCCTTTTTTCTTTTTGGAGATAGGTTCTCACATAGCTCAGACAGGCCTTGGGCTGTGTAGGCAAAGGTGACCCTAAACTGAACCTCCTGACTGCTGGGATTACAGGTGTCCACCACTGTGCGGAGCCTGGCTTCCTCTGTTGGCTTTGAACTTGCGCCCTGGCCTGCCTGCAGCTGAGTGTTCTAGGTGTATACCTGGCCCCTTTCTGTCTCTTCATTGTGGGAGTCTAGTCTCTACCAGGTGAGGCTGGGTGCTTCTTGCTCAACTGGCCACTTTGTCCTGCTCTTATCTGAGCAGGGCCATTAGGGCAGCTGTCCTATTGCAGGGGAAATGGGGAGAGGAAATCCTAAACAGGACTGTGGTAATGGGAGAGGTTGTGGGCCAAGGTCAGGCTCTTCCTTTCAAGGCCTAGACAGGCAGTAGAGATGCATGAGCAAGACTTGGGACATGTGGGTCAACTAAGGGTTAGGAAGAACCTAAGTCTGAGTCCTGGACCACTCCCTGGCCATGGTTGAGGACTGAATCTAGGGCCTCTCACACATACTAGGCAAGCACTCTGCTGCTGAGCTGCATCCTCAGCCCGTTTAGTTTTTTTATTTAGTTTTTAGGATTTTTTGAGATAGGGTCTATGTAACCCAGGGTGACCTTGAACTATTGATTCTTCTGCCTGTCTCCCAAGTGTTAGGATTTTAGACCTTTGCTATCAGGCCTGACTAGACTCAGCTTTCAGTTTTTCTGAAGTGAGGGCCTGGACAACTTCAGTGTCACGTAGAATTGGGACAGAGGGAGAGGACCACATGGAGGGGCCGCAGGGATTTTGCCTTAGCTGTGCACATCACAATAACTGTGGCACTGGGCCGGGAGGCTGCACAGGCAGCAGGGTAGAAACAGGTGGGAGAAAGCCTAGCTTTACTGTACGGTAACGGGAGTGGTGGCTACACTCCAGCACAGTGGCCCTCCAGGGGCTGTCTCTGGTATGCTCCCCTGGCAGAGCTCTAGCCCCAGCCTGATGCTTGGCAGTGACCTGATCCCAGAGGGGCCACTCTCAGGCCCTGCACTGGCAGCTTCTGGGGTCTTCCAGCTTTTCTGGAGGTGGGGCGGAGGTCAGTGGGGCATCCAGGGCCTGTCTCCGGATGAGTTCTGTGTAGAGCCCACCTTTCTTAAGGAGTTCCTCATGGGTCCCAGCCTGGAGACAGCAGGAAGATTATTTCAAACGGCGCCAAGCTCAGAACCCCAGCAGGGCTGTCCCTTCTGGAGACACTTGAAAACCCTGGGCTCATTTGAAAGGAACTGCTTTGGACACAGCTGTATTAGTCAGTGCAACCTCCTGCTCAGTTGACATCTGAGAGGTGATCCCTCCCACCTCCCTCAGCTTGGGGGTGTGAGCCATGCCTCCATGTGCTGAGGTTCTGTACCAGTCTGCTCCCATACTGGCCCCTCACATGGTCCTTCTGCACCTCAGCCCCTGGGTGGCCAGCCCTGCCTGTCTCCCCACCAACACTATACATATTCCTCTTTGACCCTGGAAGCCTGTGGCTCAACTCTCCTAGGGACAGAGGCAAGGGCTTGTCTGAGGACAGAAAGACCTTGGTTTGTTGGGATGCTACTTCCAGAACATGACCTCAAGCTCCTGGAAACAGCCCAGGTGCTCATATTGCTTAGCTATGTCCCCTGGGCCACTGCCCATTCTCAGCCCAGACTGACCTCCCAGACCTGGCCATTGGCCATGACGACAATGCAGTGGGCTGCACGAACAGTACTGAGCCGGTGGGCAATGACCAACACGGTGCGGCCAGCACTGGCCCGGTCCAGTGCCTCCTGCACCACCCGCTCAGACTCTGCATCCAGCGCGCTGGTAGCCTCATCCAGGATTAGCACGGTGGGCTGTTTGATGAGGGCACGTGCGATGGCCAGGCGCTGCTTCTGGCCACCAGACAGGGTTGTGCCCCGTTCACCTGGGGAGATGGGACAGGGCAAGGGTTTGAAGGGATCCTCAGCTCTACACTTGGGGGTGGTGGGTAAGGGCACTAGGTATTTCCTGAAATTCTGTCAGGCCCCCTTTGAGCACCTCCCCACATACACCCAGTGTATACAATACTTGTTGGTGACTGAGCGCCCCAGTACAGCAACACACACAAGGAACACGAGTGTTTCTGTGGAGCACTGCTGCCAGCGTGTCCCCTTCCTAGGCTGGGCTGAGCTGAGTGGGCAACTCCCCTGTGCTTACAGCAGTAGCTGTCTTCCTGGCCTCTGGCCTCTGCTGCAGTGAGACCACGGCTGGCACCCGAGCATGGGCTGTGTAGTGCAGACTAAGAACAGAGGGAGTTGAAGCCATACAAGACAGAGGTGACAGCCTGAGAGTCACAAAGAACCTTAACAGACTGCAAGGTGATGGCAGGGTCATGGGTCAGTAAGGGGGGCAGCCCTGATAAGGCCCAATGAGCAGGGACCATGCTAGAATCATGGGTACCAGGGAAGGGCCAACAGAGAGATGCTGGCAACCTGTCAGGACAGCACAGAGCCTGAGCATGTGAGCACAGCTGTGTTAGAACCTAGAACATGAATGACTACTAGAGATGGGCACAGCCTGGAAGGCTGAGGCTCAGTCCTGAGAAGCCGGGTGCTGGAACATTCTATAGCATCCAAGCTGTTGGTGGCACACAGAGCCCCAGAGATGGAGAGGAGCCCTGGGGATGAATACCCAAAGCTCACGGTCTCTCTCTCTCTCTCTCTCTCTCTCTCACACACACACACACACACACACACACACACACACACACACACGCGCGCGCGCGCGCGCGCAGTGCTGGCATGCTGCAGAGTGGCACAGTACCCTGGAGACAGGAGAGGCACGAGACACCAACCTCCCCTTGTACCGAGGGGCGCCACTACTGAGCAAGAGAACTGGAATGGTCTGGGAACCACAAGAGTGGGGACAGTTTTGAGAGGAGCCCCATCTTCTATCTTAGGCTGTGGCAGGTTCCCAATTCTACAAGTCATTTGTGTCTGTAGTCAGGCTCTGCCATCTGGCTTTGTCACATCCTGGAGCCCTGCTTGGTCTGCTATGCCTGGGCCACATGGACCGGAGCACCTTGGCCCTGCAGAGCCATCTTTTGTTCCCTCAGCCATCGTCTGGTCTTTCCTAGCACAACTCTTTCTCCTGGCCGCACCTCTCAGGAATTAGAGTTGCTCCCTGCCCACAAGCCCATACCCCTTAGCCTCTGCATTGCCCTGCTGACCCAGCAGCTTGCCACCCAGGGGCCTACCGACCACGGTGCTGTAACCCTCAGGGAAGCTGCTGATGAACTCGTGGGCATTGGCCTCCTGTGCAGCTTTGTACACCTCTTCATCAGAAGCTTCCAGCTTCCCGAAGCGGATGTTCTCCATGATGGTCGTTCCAAACAAGACTGGCTCCTAGGGGGTTGAGGGGAGGAGGACACACACAGAAGGAGACCATAGGGTATATTCTGAGTCAGCCTCAGAACTTGGGGACCACCATGAGCACTAGAGGACTGTTTTATAGGCCCCTTTGAGGGATAGTAGGGAAGAGTTAAAAGTTCAAAGTCAGCGGCCAATCAGGCAAGGACAGAGTGGCTCATTAAAGGGAAACAGAGGTCCCTTCCAATAGAGAGCAGACACTCTCTCACCAAAGGTACATGGGAAGGTGGCAGGGACCCCAGGGCTGGCAAGGTTCTGCAGAGGATCTGAGTTTTGGCCTTTTCCTACGTGTGGGTAGCTGCCCCTCATGTGATGGTAAATGTGCTGGCTTTACCGGCCAGCCTACAGAAGAAAAGTGGCCCCTCACTGGGTTTAAGTGAGAGGGCTGTGACCACTGCAGTCCCAGTTCCACTGCTTTGGGGTCCTAAGAGGTCCACCTGCTGAGACTGCAGGAAAAAGCAGTGTCCTGCCCTGGATGACATAAGACAGCAGAGCTGTAGCTGCCTGGAGAGGGATACTCTAGACCCAGAGAATGGCTATGGACCATGAGGTAGGCCACAGGCATCCTCAGAGCAGGCAGGGGGATGGTAAGTGGGAGGAAAAGGAGGTTCCTATCCTTGCTGTTCAGATCCTGTCAGCAGGGCCCTTACCTGGCTGATGAAGCCTATGACCTGGCCCCGGAGCCAGGATGGGTCAAGGGTGCGCAGGTCATGCCCATCCAGTGTCACCTTGCCGGCCGTGGGGTCATAGAAGCGCTCCAGCAGGGAAGCCACTGTAGTCTTTCCTGGGGGTTAGAGTTTTGGGGGAAGGAGGGAGGGTTTTGGAGACTGTCCCGACAAAGGGACATTGCAATGAAAGACACTCCAGCCCAGGGAGAGGCAGGGGCCACTGAGGGCCACAGCTTGCTCCCAGTGGTCACCAAGAGAGAACTAGAGAATGGCAGTTGGTGAGAGTTTTCCTTACCTCCCCCAGACTGGCCCACAAGGGCCACAATCTTGCCAGGGGGCAGTGTCAGGGTGAAGTCCTTGAGCACCTCGAAGCCAGGGCGACAGGGGTAGCTGGAGTGGCCAAGAGATCCCTGGTCAGACCAGGCTCCTGGCCCTCGCTGTCCTGTTTTTTTTCCCTATGTCTCCCCATGGGGGCTCATTGACTGGGGAGACCTCCCACCTGATTCCCCCTTATCCTCAGCCCAGAAGCGCCTGTCCCTCAGCCCACCCATGAATGCTGACCTGAAGCTGACATTCTGGAAAGTGATAGAGCCACGCAGGTGCTTGCTGGGGATGCAGTAACCCCCTTTCAGTGGGATGCAGGGGCTCAAGGCCATGTACTCAAACACACGGGCACCTGCGCTCAGGCCCCGCACCACCTGCAGAGGGAACCCAGAGTTTGTGGTTGAGGTTGGAGTGGGAGCGCCTACAGGAGAGGCTTCTGGTGTTGGGTAGGGCTGCAGTGACTCCAGAGCCCCTGCAGAAGTGGGGTGGGGTGGGGTTGGGTTGACTGGTCCCAGGGCTCAAGAACCTCCTGTTCTGTTCTGCTCATCCCCAGGCACAGGCAGCACTCATAGCATACATGCGTGTACACACACGTACCCTCCTCTAGTGATGGATGAGACCCCAGCCCAGACCTGAGTGCCCTACCTTGGGATACTCCCACTTACCTGACCAAACAGGACAGAGAGGCTGGCCATAGACCTGCCAGAAGGAGAGAAGGTTGGAAGAGGTGGTGACAAGAGCCAGAGAGGAAGGAAAGGTTGTGGAAGGGGAGGCAAGCCCATGAGGCTAAAGCAAGAAGGCCCCTGAGGTAGATAGTTACATGAAGCCCAGGGTTCCGTGTCACCAGACCACTGAACTTCAGCTCCCCCCTTAGCTGCAGGATGAACACTGCCTGCAACCTAGGCCAGCATCCAGAGGTGGGTCCAGGTGGCAGTGGATGTGGGGTGAAGAGAGCTGAGACTCAGTAGGATGCCTACAGACTGACCTGGCCTTCAATATGAATAGTGAAGATGGCTCACGGCATCAGGGTGACGTCAGCTCACCAGGAGGGGCCCCAGCTGATCCCATGACCTCTACCTGCTCTGACTCTGAGCAGAAGCTTTGACAGAGGTCACAGGGTGTGGCCCATAGTGGAAAGTCAGATCTAATGCTAGACTTCTGCGGGAGTGGGGGGTGCACAATGACTTCCATTCATATTTAGGTGGAAAAAAGCCAAGTCTTTTCAGAAGAAAACAGAAAGAGGGGACTACAAGGGGACCTAAAGGAGACCCCAAAGCAAAATTCCCTGACGACATTTTTACTGCGGGCTTGCCCTATATGTGGGTGTGTAGGAAATGGCGTGTGTTTATCTGTCTAGACGGTGGGCCTCTTCCTTTGTACTGGCAGGGCTGGGGCTGGTCACCTGCTGTGAGCTGGGGAGATGAGTCAGTGCCTTAGTCACAGTCCCCAGTGGCCTGGCTGACCCGTGACTGTGTATACCACTGTACATCCTTTCTGCAAAAAGACTGACATCCCAGCAATCTGTGGCCCCTGTTCATTTTCTCCAGTGTTTGGGTAGGGTACCCCAAAACCCTTAAGGAAAAAGTTATGGCAGGTTAAGGACAGTGGGTACTTGCCAGAGGGGTAGGGGGATTGTAGAGGGAGGAGCCAGGTTTTGGAGCTATCTGTGCATGTAGATGGGACCAGATCACAAGAGAAAAAGAGACATGGGCACCATTAGGGCCTGGCAAAGGGGCCAGCTGCCACTGAAATCTAAGCATACAACTCATGGGCATGCGCTGACCTTGCTCTGAGACCTAGCGAAATGGGGCTGACTCTAGACTGAGATGAGGTCACTTGGCCTGGACAGGTCCCCTATCTGGGAACCACCCCATCACTGCTAAAGGAACATTTACTTGGGGCCACTCTGCCCTGCTGTCCCTCCCTCTGGACCTCAGCCCTGACATATGGGCCCTTGGCTGTACAGCCGACCCCAGAAGAAGCACAGCAGCTTCCTTAAGGAGGCTAATTGTTCCAGATGGCGGGTGACAGTGAGGCCAGGGGCCGGAGACAGTGCAGGCTGCTCTCTGGGCCTCCCTGCAGCTATAAGCACAGCTCTGCTTAGGGTTAAGTAGTGCGGCAGGCAGATGAAGAGGCCTGCCTCAGGCCAGAATGGGGTGGGGTAGGCGGTGTGCCCAGGGAGCAGAGCCAAATTGATCATCTGGGTCTTTAGGACTAGAGAGATGAGGGGCTAGAGCCCAGGCTGATCAGAGAATTGGGTCACATGGGGGCACAGGCAGCAGAGGGTACATGGTAAGCCCTACCCCTTCTGTGATCAGAACACCTGGAAAGGTGAGAGGGAGCAGTTCCTGAGCTGGAGGACAGACAAGGCTCCCAGGACCAGAAAGGGCCTGAAGGTGCTGGTGGCGAGCAGAAATGGAACCAGGATGGTGTCTATGCACTGAGAGAGGTGCACTGTACTCTTTGGAACTCTGGCTGTGCTGAGGAAAGGGCCGTCCTACCCGCCTCAGGACTGGCCTCACTTCACACTGGGCAGTAAAAAGTCTGACCCTAAACAGTTCTCTAGGAAACTGTGGACTTACAGCAATGGCAAACTAGGATGCTGGGCAGGAATGGGGCACCACTATAATGAGGAGTACCACCTCTGGAGTGAGGGCTTAGGGACCAATTGAGAGAGATGGAGGGAGTGTACAGGGATGTCCATTTTCTTGACGTGGTTGGTGGTAAGAGGTTTTCACTCTTTAATTATTTATTATAGCATATTCACTCTTTAATTATTTACTACAACACATATTTCTGTGTTTTATACTTGCTCTGTGTGGGGAAAAGCAAGGTGGAAAATAGCAGCCGAACTGCTCGGGTTGCACTGGAAGGAGAAAAGGGGTGAGGGGCCTGCTGGGCAGCCCACTGGGGCCGTCTTGTGGCTGAGGAGCTTCAGGTTGCCTCACAGGGTAGAAGGGCCCAGCTGAGCAGGGTAATAGGAAGCTCCAGGGATGGCACTGCAAGGTAGGGGGTCTGCTTCTCATCCTAGGAAATGGTCTGAGGATTTAAGGGGCATCCCTTAAAAAGACCATCCAGGATGGTCACCCAGACACTAGCTAGCCTTCAAAGGAAGGCCACCCTGATACATGCCACATGTGGAAGGACCCCAGCAAAGCCATGCTAGGTGACACCAGTCAGGCACAAAGGGATGACTGTGTTTCTGTGAGGTCACCAGTGTGCTCAAATTCACAGAAGGCAGAAAGTGGAAGGGAATCAGAACTGGGGAGGAATGGGGAACTGGTGTGTTAACAAGGTGGAGCCTCACTTCTGCAGGACCACAAAGTTCAGGTGACTGGTGAACTTGACACTACAGAACTGTGCACTTAAAAATGGTGAGAGAGAAATCTTCCACTGTGTCTATTTTACAATTACTTTTTAAAAAAACCTCTGAAGAACACTTTAGAGTTTTCTGGAAGGCTGATGATGCTGACTGCTTCCCTGAGTGTAAGTTCTGTAAAGCCCTAGAGGGCTTTTCCCTGTCCTGTGCTCCCTTGGGGAGGAGGCAGGGCCAGCACTGGGCAGCAGTCCCTCACCTAAGCAAGCTGGCACCCCTGTTCTCTGATCTCTGGAGGGTAGCAGGGGGCTATGAGAGTGGTCCCCACTCACCTCTGCACTGTCTGAGAAGCCACCAGGAAGGACATGAGGTCTCCCCCTCTCAGCTGCTGTCCAGCTACAAGGGAGCCCCCAATGAACAAGGTGCCCAGGACCATACCTACAAGGAGACGGGACAGGCAGTGAGAGGAAGCAGGGAGGGACAAGGACTGAGTCCCGAGTCTTATCCCTGTCTGAGACCAGCTGACTCTCAGTCCTGAAGTCTCCATTTGCAAAACAAGCTGGGCAGGCCAGGTATGGTGGCATAGGGCTGTAATACTGTTACTTATGTAGCTGAGACAGGAGGATCACAAGTTCAAGACAGCCTGGGATACAGAGTAAGTTTGAGGTCAGTCTGAGCAACTTAGTGAGACTGTCTAAGACTAAAAGGGCTGGGGAGAGAGCTCAGTGGCAGAGTATTTGCCTACCATGCTTGAGGTCCTGGTTCTATTCCCAGTACCACAAAAACAAATAAGGGGAGCAGGGATCCACCACACTTCCTAAGGGTGGCCCTACAGTATTCTCCCCAAGCTTGGGGATATCACCACAGGAGCCATGCAGCTAGGTCACCTCACAAATGAAGGTGCTCAGTATGTCTGCTAACACTTGGGCAGGTGGACACTGCTTTTTGCCCCTTCCCAGCCCAGAGCCCACGTCCCCTTCCCAGGCGGGGCCTCATCCACTCACAGTTGAAAGCGATGTTGGAGAGCCCTTGGAACAAGGCGATGCCCCTGCCAAGCTCCTCTGCCTTACAGCGGCACGACTCCAGCTCTGCTCTATAACGTCTGGGAAGAAAGGCCAGGCTGGGCACTCAGGAAACAGCTGGGCTGGGGGACAGGGCAGTGGAGGGTATGTGGGAGAGATGGACTCGCTTTGTAATTGGCCCTCCCAGGACTCACTCCTCTTCCCGTTCCTCCATGGAAAAGGCCCGCACAGTCCGAACATTGCCCAGGGCCTCGTCTGCTACGCCTGTTGCCCTGGCAATCTGCATGGAGTTGGGGAAACAGAGTAGGTTGTAGACAGGAGGAAGGGTGAGGAGGGTCAAGGATAGCATGCCAGAGATGTTGGGGGGGACAGTCAAAAACTCTAGTACCTGCTCCTGACACTGGCGAGATAGCTTTCGAAGACCTGACCCCATCAGAGTGCCCACTCCCATCAGGGCAGGTGTGGCGATGGCCAGGAACAGTGTGAGGCGTGGGGATAGCATGGACAGGGACACCAGGCAACCGGCTACCTGGGTGCAGCTGCGCAGCCCCTGCATGGCGAGAGGAGGGCAGGAGGCTGTGGAGCATTGGCACCAGGCCACAGGCACTCTGCAGAGGGTGTGCCAGCTACAGCTCTGCACTCAGGAGGCCCAGGCCACAGGTCTGAGCCCTGGAGGTCAAGGAGCAGTCAGTGGTCACCAAATAGAAGCCCTCCTTGACAGCCCAGGATCTGACCACCAGGTGTAAAGGGATGAGTGAGAATGTCCATGGGTCTTGCCCTTTTCGCTCTGGACAACTCTGTTTGCTTGTCTTTCTGTTTGGAAACTGCACTGACAGAACTTACACACTGACTGCCACAGGCCAATGTCCCACCTAATCTGGGGCTATGTGATGGTGGGGGTGGATAGGGCAGGCTGTCAGCTTGCAGTAGAGTCACGCAGAGCTCAATGTTGCCCAACGATGTGCACAACAGGGCCAGCCCAAGCCAAGTGAGTTTGCTCCTGCTAGGCTGTCTCTTGTCTGAGTCTGGTGATGGCTTTCCAGGGGAGGTAGGATTTCAGAACACAGAACAGCAGCCTGTCCTGACCTTGACACCATCCCAGCTCCTTCCTCCAGATTCTTCGTGCCCTCACCCATATCTTTCCCGACAGTAGCGAGCCCAGCTTTGGGCCAGATGTCCGGCCTGGGGCAGGCAGGTATGACCCATTGAGTCTACATGGGGGCCCTGACCCACTGACCTGGGAGATGACAAGCTTGAAGGATGACTTGAATTCCTGCACATCAGTTGTCAGGCGGCTAACCAGCTGCCCTGTCTTTTTGGCATCAAAGAAAGCAATATCTTGCCTGGCAGTGAGACATGGTGGTAGCAGGTGGAGGAAGAGAGGGAGACATTACTTTGGGATTTGGCCACCCCTAGACCTCCTGGGAGCCATCAGTCACCCTGGCCCCGCCCTCTGCAGCTGGCAGTACCGGAGCAGGGAGCTGAAGAGAGCCTTCCTCATGTCCACAGCCATGCGCTCGCCAATGTGGGACAGCAGCACTAGGTACCCAAAGGTCAGAAGTCCCTGTGAGAGAGGCATGGAGTTCAGGGAGGCCCCAGAGAGGCTGTGAGAGCCGGACTCTCCCATCCTGTTTACCTGGACACCATAGAGGATGAGCAGCTGGGTGCTGAGACTCCGGGACTCGGACATGAAACTCCCCATGTGGTCCCTTGTGTACTTGGCCACGATCTCCACTAGCTGGCCCAGGAGCAGGGGGATCTGCACGTTCACCAGTGCTGCACCCAAGGCCAGCTGGAATGGGGGAGGGGGACAGATGCTTAGAGAAAAGACTGCACCTGTCCCCTTCCCAGCTCTGACCCTGGCTTTTTCTCTTCTACTACTGAGCCTTGTCTTATCCATACTGTGGCTGCTCACATGGTCACAAAGTGCCTATCTGACAGTTAAAGTCCAACCTCCAGAGTCCCCATACCCTCCCAGCCCCTTTTCTGGTCTTTTTGAGACAAGGTAGCCCCAGCTGGCCTGGAACTCACTATGTAGGCTAGGCTGGCCTTGAACTTACAGAGATCCGCCTGCCTCTGCCTCCCAGTGCTGGGATTAAAGGTGTGCGCCACCACGCCCAGCTTTCCCATACCCGTTAAACCCAGCCTTGCTGTCCCCACAAAACAGGAATATTGTCCCTGTGCAACTATGGATCAGGGCTGCCTAGGCTCTATCCTTGTCTGCTCTGAGGGATGGAGAAAGACATACCACAATGGCTGCCCCCAGGACCAGAATGTGGGGACACAGGAAATGCAAGAACAGCTTCCAGTTAAAATGCAACTCTGGCGCAGGGTGAGGAGGGGACACTTCTGCCTCACACAGTACCACAGGGCAGAGGTGGGGACACTGCCGTAGCACTGCAGGTACCATCAAGATCCCCCCAACCCAGTACCGGGTAGAGGGGCTCCAACGGGGAGTTGGTGGGGCCCGAGGGAGGTGAGCCTGGAGATGTGACCGCAGCTGGGCCACAGCTTGGAGGAGGAAGGAGCTGGAGCGACCATTTGGGGACCTGCAGGTAGAGAAGGGCATTGATGACTGGCTATCCTTCAAATGACCAGCCCATCCCCCTGGGCTTACTGAGCCTCTTAGATAACAACATCTCTACTTCCTCTCTCAGGGCTGTTACTGTTTAATTTTTCTTTTGAGAGAAGATCTTCTAATATTCCCCAGCCTGGCCTTGAACTTCTGGGCTCAAGTGGTCCTCCTGGCTCAGCCTCCCGAGTTGCTAGGTCTACATGTATGTACTATGCTGCCCAGGTCTCAGGGCTGTTCTTAAGCAACTTCAGTTTCTAATACACAACACCTGTATTCATGTGGAATTTAATGCTATTGGAGTGCAATCTTTTTTTTTTTTTAAATCTTTTTGAGACAGGGTCTCCCTGTAGCCCCAGCTGTCCTGGAACTTGCTGTGAAGACCAGGCTGGCCTTGAACTCACAGAGACCCTCCTGCCTCTGCCTCCCAAGAGCTGGGATTAAAGGCCTGTGCCACCACGCCTGGCTTGGAGTGCAATCTTAAAAGCATTTCCCCCTTGCCTGTCTTCCAGTTAGTACCAACCAGTCAGCCCCTTTCAATCACCAGCACCCTAGTCAGTGCCTATCTCCACCCCACCTTTCACAATCACAACCTGCCAGGCCTGGAGGGGAGATGGGATGGCAGCTGGCCCAGGGCCCTCCCTCCTTTGACAGGGTAGGACCGCAAGGCTCAGAGAGAGCCCCAGGGGTAAGCTGCTTCTATGTGCACATGTGCATGGTGACCAACCAGGCACACACAACCCCAGCATATCGAGTTGATATACCTAGCCTTTGACCTTTAGCTTTCTGGGACAGTTGCCCTTATTCGCACTTGGTAAGGAGAAACTGAGGTGGAGCTGAGGGTTTGTATAATTTGTCCCCAGGCAGAACTAGGGCAAGAGGGAACACTGTTTTCTGGTTCTAGAATTTAGCTTGTTCTGCTCATCTAGCTATGATGTGCCCAAGGCTATGTGTGGCAGTCAGGGCCTGAGGGGACATAAGTCTTTGGACTTACTTCACCTCATTACTCTCCCTCCCTAGGCCCGGAGTGCGTGCTTGTGTCTCCATGCACCTGTGTGTTGATGCACATGCATATTAAAGCTCAGAGGCAAAGGGCCACGTTCTCCTCTCCCACCTATGACAGAGGAAATGGACAAACCCCAAAGGACTTATTTTTCCTCTGTTGCATACAGGACAGAATATGGAACTGACCAACTAAGTACCCTCAGGGGTCAGGCTGGGGTGGGTAGGGGGCACAGTTACTGGGAAACTGCAGGTGCAGATGGCAGAGAGCAGGTGCTGGCCAAGTGCAGGGTGGGAAGAGTCAGGGAGAGCAAAGCCAGAGGAAAAGCCCTTGGCAGTATCTGCAGTAAGAAACAGAAAAGGAGCTTCAGTAACAGCCTGGCTTTGACTCAGCACATGGGAAGGGAGAAGGGACGTGAACCTTGGGAGGGTCAGTCACTGCAGTCTCTGCAAAGCACCTGCACTTGAGAAAGCCAAGAGGGGGCTGTTCAGGAACACTTGTGGTTTGGGGGCTAAGATGTGATGTAATCAGATTTACATTTTACTTATTGTTTATTATTTCTATTTTTTAACATTTTATTGCTGGGATTATGTTTTTATATTTATTTATGTATTTTATTATTATTTTGGTCTTTTTTGAGACAGGGTCTCCCTGTAGCCTCAGCTAGCCTGGAACTACATGGACCAGGCTGGCCTCGAACTCACAGAGATCCTCCTGCCTCTGCCTCCCAAGTGTTGGGATTAAAGGCATGCACCACCACGCCTGGCTTATTTATTATTTTTATTTTATGTGTATGAGCTTAAGTGCACCTGTGTCGTGCAGTGCCCTCAGAGGTCAGAAGAGGGAATCAGATCCCCTGAAACTGGAGTTACAGACAATTGTAAGTTGCCATATGGATGCTCGGAATCAAACGTGGGTCCTCTGCAAGAACAGCCAGTGCTCTTAACTGCTGAGCAGATCATCTCTCCAGCTCCTAAGTATTTCTTTGTTAGAGCCCAGGTCTTCTGCAAGACCAACAGGTGCTCTTAACCACCAAGCTCTCTCTCTAGCCCCTAAGTATTTTATTTTTATTTTATGAGTATGAGTCTACTGCCTGGATGTATGTAGGTGTACCCATGTTGTGCAATGCCCTCAGTGGCCAGAAGAAGGAATTGGATCCCTGGAGTTTCTAACTCCAGTTAGCTAAAATGTGTGTGCTAGGAACCGAACCTGGGTCCACTGCAAGAATAGCCAGTGCTCTTCACTGCTGAGCCATCTCTCCAGCCCCCAGATTTGCATTTTAAAGGTCATAGCAGAGGGGACAGAATTGGATAAAGGCCAGTTTCAAGCAGAAGTTATCTGGACAAAAGGGCAGAACGGAATGCTTGAAACAGACTAGTGATAAGGAAAAACTTCAGTATACACAGAAGCTGGGTGTGTGGTGCATTCCTGAAATCCCAGTACTTGAGATGCTGAGGCAGATTTCAAGTTTGAGGCCGGCCTGGGCTACAAAGTAAAACTTAGTCTCAAAATAAAATAAGGGTGCTGGGCATGATGGTGCACTCAGGAGGCAGAGGCAGGCAGATCTTTGTGAGTTTGAGGTAGTCTGGTCTGTATAGCAATTTCCAGAACAGCCAGGGCTACATAGTGAGACACTGTCTCAACAAACAAACAAACAACCATTAAATAAAATAGGGGCTGGAGAGATGGCCCAGTGGTTACAAGAAAGTATTGCTCTTGCAGAGGACTTAATTCTCTGTACACACATAGGGTGGCTCACAACCATCTATAACTCCAGCCCTAGAGGATCCAATGACTCTGACCTACTCAGGCACCTGCACTCAGGTGCATATACCCACACATGCACACATAATTAAAAATGAAATAAATCTATGAACAAATAAATATCTAGAGTGAGACTTTGCTTTTAACATGGTTTTTGTGTTTCTGGACCCTTCTTATCTCAGACCTGACCCGCCCTTGCTTTCAGGGAGATCTGTGCTTCTTGTTACCTGACAATGTTTCCCTACCTTGTTCTGCATGCCTGGCTTTCCTTTTCTTTTCCATGCAGTCTTTATGTCTGTTTATCCTACGTTTTAGATAAAGAAGCTTATTTTCTTTCCTTCCTGTGGCATTGTCCCGTTTTGCCTTTAGGCAGTATCTTACTCAAGGGCTGGAAGCATTTTATATTTTATATTCTGGTACTTAGGAACTGTCTAGGACATAAAAGATATCAAGTGAATATTAGTTGAGTGTGTACATGCCCTCGTTAGAAACGCAACATAGTCTGACCTGACTACTGCAATGTTTACAAACGTGCAGACTTACTGTGACTAGCATTGTATACTGCAGCCCAGTACAATGCTCCAGTGTAACCCAGCACTGTGAACATATACATGCCACACACAGTTGAAAGGTCTCATAACGCCTTTAATCCCAGTACTTAGGCAGAGGCAGGAGGATCTCTGTGGGTTCCAGGTCAACCTGGTCTACACAGCAAGTTCCAGGCCAACTGGGGCTACAGGGAGACCCTGTCTTAAAAAAACCAAAAAAAAAAAAAAAAAAAAACCAAAAAAACCAAAAAAACCCCAACAACTTCCCTATTTTTTAAACACAAATTCTGATAGTTTTTATTATATTCACAATGATCCTGACCTACTAAATTCTTTTCATGATCAAACCCCACAGATTAGGGGCTGGAGAGATGGCTCAGTGGTTAAGAGCACTGACTGCTCTTGAAGAGGACCCAGGTTCGATTCCCAGCACCCACATAGTGGCTACAAGCCGTCCTTAACTCCAGTTCCAGGGGAATCTGAAACCCTCTTCTGACTTCCAGGGCATTGCATGCCATGGGGTGCACTCACATACATGAAGGCGATACACTCATACACACACACACACACACCCCAACAGATTAATGAATATACTCATATTTAAGTATCTGTTCTTTCCTTGTGTCTCTAGTTTAAATAATATCAGCACTGTCACTCTCTTCTAGAGATTGCTTTCAAACTGTTTAATAATCTACCATGGCTGCTCTCCAGGAAGCTTGGTGACCGCCAACAGCTGGTAGGAGACGTCCCAGCACCTGCACTTCTCCAGCTCCAGCCTTCATCTTCCCTCTATCAATTGGGTGGCTGTCCACATGGCCACCCAAGGCCACCCACCCTTGCCAATCTGTACAGTCCTCGGGTTACTGGCTGCAGGAACAGAAGGGAAACAGTTCCTTCTCCTAAGGTATTTACAGCTCAGATTTAGATTCTGGGTTCTTGCTTGTTTCCCACCCCTTTCTCTGTACTAATGCACAGAGAAATGCCAAGAATAGGTTACAGATGAACTTTCTTCATTCTGGGTTTGCCCTCCTGCATGGCAGGCAAATGTTCTACCTCTAAGCTACATCCCCAGTCCTCTTTCTTTAAAAATTTTTGTTATTTATTTTTTTATTTTAGACAGGGTCTTCAGGTAGCCTCTGGTGGCCTGGAACTCACTATGTAGATCAGACTGACCTTGAGAGATCCTTCTGCCTCTGCCTCCCAAGCACTGGGATTAAAGGTGTACACCACCACATCTGGCCCTCTACTTATTTTGAGAAAGGATCTAAGTTGTCCTAGACTCACTCTGTAACTCAGGCAGGCCTTGAACTTACGTACGGTACACTGTACATTCAAGTTACTTACACTCAGTTTCCCTAGTAGATAGGATTACAGTTTGCACTAGGCCCAGTTCAGATTCTTGCTGAACATTTCTAGCTCTAGGAACCACTTTTTTGTTTTGGTTTGTTTTGTTGGGTCTTACTCTGTAGCTCGGGTTCGGTTGGAACTTACTATGCAGCCCATACTGGCCTCGAACTCCTAGCAATCCTGCTTCTGTCAACTGAGTGCTGGGATGAGGCAGTAAGCCCACCTAGGAACCATTTACACATTTAAAAATGTTTATTTTGGACCGAGCGTGGTGGCGCACGCCTTAATCCCAGCACTCGGGAAGCAGAGGCGGGCGGATCTCTGTGAGTTCGAGGCCAGCCTGGTCTACATAGTGAGTTCCAGGACAGCTGGGGCTACAGGGAGACCCTGTCTCAAAAAGACCGGAAAAAAAAAAGTTTATTTATTCATTTGGTGCGTGTGGGGGGTGGAGGGCACTCATGTCAGAGGGCATGCATGCATGTCAGAGGACCACTGGATATAGTCTCTCCTACCGTGTGGGTTCCCGGAGTTGAATTGAGGTGCATGGGCTTGGCAGCAAGCTCCTTTACCACCAGAGTAGACGCGGACCGGAGTGGCGCCCCCTAGTGGGCAGTGAAGACTGGGCGTGGTCACTGACCCGGAGTCCGCTCCATCCAGCCCACTAGGCCATGTAGACGCGCCGAGCCTCTAGCCAGCATACCACACCTCCCGGTAAATATTTGAGTGACATTCCACTCCTGCCCAAAGCCTACAGCTCCCAGCAGGCCTCGCGCGAGCCCAGGACTCCATTTCCCGGCAGGCCCCGCGCGCCCCGCTGGCCGGTCCAAGGCCAGCACTCCTAGTGGCTCTTTTACCTGGCTGCTGAGAAGGCCTGGAAGCGCAGAGAGTGTAGCGACCAGCCGCGGACAGGCCCGCCCAGGATCCTGACCCGAAATAAGTGCACCAACATGCTTGGGCGGAGAGACAGGAGCAGCCGGCAACGACTTATCTCGCCCTCATCCCCCTGAAAGCTCCATGCTGGAGACGGCCCCCATCCCGACAACCCCTTCGCACCTCGGCGGGGATTGGAGGAAAGGCACGTCAATCTTGCTGCTGTGCTTGGATACAGCACTGCCCTCCCTTCTCCTTCCGGAGCTGCGGGCGAGGGAGCGTAGAGCCTTTGCCCCCTGCAGGGTCGGTGACTGGCCTACAGGGTGGTGTTCCCGGCTGCTCCTCTTACCGTTCCTCCGTCCTAAGGATATTCTAGACCAGAGCATAGAGCTCTGGTTCTGGGGACGAAGGAGCAAAAAATCGACCCCCCGACGGAACCCCACCCCCACCCGAGGAGTTTGTCTTTATGAGATAGGGGCTCCCCTGGAACTCGCTATGTAAACCAGACTGGCCTCAGATCATCCCGCCTCTGCCTCCCGAGTGCTCGGATTAAAGGAGTGGACCACCATGCCCCGTAGGGGAGTTTTGTTTGTTTTTTAAAAAAATATTTGCTATTTGTGTGTACGAGTGTTTTGCCTGCATGTGTGCAAGTACACCCTGTGCAGAGCCCGCGGAGGGCAGAAGAGGGCGTCGGATACTCTGGTACAGACGACACAACCCTGTGGGTGCTGGGAATTGAACCCCATCCTCTGTAGGAGCAGTCAGCGTTATTAACCACAGAGCTCTCTCTCCAGCCCCTGCTTTTTGACTTTTTGAGACAGGGTCTCCCTGTAGTCCCAGCTGGCCTAGACCTTGCTATGTAGACCAGGCTAGCCTGGTCTCAAACTCAGTTCTGCCTGCCTCTGCCTCCCGAGTGCAGGGAGAAAGGGCGTGTGCCACCACGTCTGGCAGTTTTTTAAAATGATGCACGTGTGCGGTGAAAAAACTCGTGTGGGGCTGTAGAGATGGCTCCGAGATGAAGAGCTCTGGTTACTGGGTTCGTTTCCTAGCATCCACATGGCAGCTAACAACTGTCCATAACTCCAGTTTCAGGAGATCTGCCCTCTTTTGGCCTCCATGGGCATTGCACGCACAGGTGCACTTGCAAATATACAGGCAATACACTCATGAATATAAAATTTTTTTTTGTCTTATTGAGACAGGATCTCCCTGTAGCCCCAGCTGGCCTGGCACTCGCTATGTAGACCAGGCTGGCCTCGAATTAACAGAGATCTGCCTACCTCTGTCTCTCAAGTGCTGGGATTAAAGGCGTGTGCCACCACACCTGGCAAAATTAAAAAAGAAAAAGTCCTGGTGTAGTTCTGACACTGACGCTCAATTATTGAGAATTACCAGTACAGAGGTCCTAAGTTTATTAAGGAGCAGCTTCAGCTCTAACCGACAGATATCTCCCTCAGCCAGGTCTTAATTACTTAAGGTGCCAATCCAAGAGCAAGCAGCACTTGCACCTATGAGCACTTATTCTTGCTGTAAGCTCTGCCCCTCCTCCGCCTGCTAGGTAGTTCTGGCTAGCCTGGAACTGTCAAGGTAGCCCTCTCGGGTCTTGAAAGCTAGATCCTTCCTTCCCTGTGCTGGGAAACAGGTCTGAGCCACCACACCTTCTATATAATTATTTTTGTATCTGTCTCCTCCGCTTGGTTGTGGCTTCTGGGTGGGAGTGGTTCTGATTCATTAACCCTGTTCCTTTCCAAACATCTATCAAGGAAAAGCGCTATTAGACACTGCCCATCAGGAAGCACCACTCCTGGCCTGCATCTGCTTTTGGTAACCCACTTGGAGATTTGGAAAGATTATTGTTACTAGAGTCCAGAGACATTTAATATTAGTGGTGCTTCCGCGATTCAAATTGCTTTGAACTGAGGGTGGGGTAGGGAGGCTGTGGATAAGGGAATTTAAACTGGACGGACTAATGAGCCAGAATTGGTTTGAGATTGGGCTGAGATCAGTGTGTGTGGGAAGGGGTCTTAAGGAAGTACTCAATATCAAAGATGCTATGTGAGCCATGTCAGCTGAGTGAGGCAAGGGAGGTACCAGTTAGAACCCATCTCTATGTGTCAGAAAGACCATGGGAATTTCCTGCCCCCCCTTCCAACATGGGATTCATTTTGCCACCTGTAGAAAGGTTTTCATAGCTGTGTCTTGCCAGCTACAAAGGTATGGAAGTCCTGAGCTACTGTGACAGTCCATGTGTGTGTGTGTGTGTGTGTGTGTGTGTCCCCACCCAGAACGGAGACAGAGAAAAAGAAAAGCAGGCAGCCTGGGCCAAAAGTGAGGGGAGCTCCGTGAATGTCCTCCATGGTCCTGGGAACATTCTAGGAAGCTCTGAGTTCCTCTCCACCTCTGGAGCACTGGCTCCTACATCAGTCCTTGGGCCTAAGCCCTGAAGGTCCTGACACCTGCTGGCCAAGTCAGCATCTCAGGCATGGGCTTCAGCAGGACGCTTGGTGATTCAGAGCCTCAGGAATGGTGTTGGGCAAGCCAGCAGACCAGTCACCTAGGCCTCCTCCTCCTCCTCAGTGAGGCCACAGTAAGGAACTCAGCCTTGGAAATCCTGGACTCCTAGCTGCCTTCCTTGCCTGTCCAGTCTTGATGCTTCTCAGGAGGCCCCTGAAACTCGGTCAGGACAGAGGGGAAATCAGGAAAGAAGATATAATGGAACTTCCAAAGAGCTATGCTTTTCCACTTGAAACTCCTCAAATCACTTCTCAAATCCCAAATAGCTGCATTCCTTTACTTCCTGGTTTCCCTCAACCTTAGTCTCCTCTCTTCCACTCAGAGGAACAAAATATGTTTTTTTGCTTTTTTTTTTTTTTTTTTGTCTTTTTGACACAGGGTCTCCCTCCCAGCTGGCCTGAACTCACTGAACTATTTAGACCAGGCTGGCCTCGATCTCACAGAGATCCACCTGCCTCTGCCTCCCGAATACCTGGTGTCCTTTTTTTTTTTTTTAAACAAGGTCCACTGTAGCCCAGGCTGGCTTCAAACTCCTGGTCTTGCTGCCTCTGTCTCCTCCCAAGTCCTGGGGTTATGACTGTTACTGCCATGCCCAACTCTTCTTTTTTGATCTTGCTGCATTTCTGTTTATCATTATCCCCAGGTGCAGAGGGAGGGGGAATTTGATTTTCAGAAAGGAGAGGCTTAACACCTCAGCCCCAAGACTTTCATCCTTTGATGGATGCTGCTCTTTTGCTTTTGGTGTTTTGGCCGCCTCAGTTCTCTCTTCACCTTTTGTCTCCTCGAGGGCTGAAAGCAGCGGTTATGGGTGTTTCTTCTTGACCCAATAGCTCTGGAGCCCCTGCCTCTCTAGCTGGTGTCTCTCCCAGGCATGCAGGCTGGGCCTTGGCCCCAGGTTGCCCTGTAATGGGGTGTGAGTGATCACACAGGTGGCTGAGGGCTGGCACGCCTGAGGCCTGCCCAGCCTGAGTCACCTGGAGCTGTTGTTGTCCTTATTGGAGTCTGCTCAGCGGCGGTGGGGAGACTTGGGGCCCAGCTCAGTGCCTCTACTCCCCATGGCGCTGCCATCGCCTGCTCCTCCATGTCGGGGACTTGGGGGAGGGAGGGTCTCTGTCTTCTCTCTGTCTCCTGCCAGAAGCTCCTCCTCTTCAGTGTTCCCTCCTACCTCAGGGTCCCCCTGCTTGGCACTGCAGGAGACAGGGGCTTCTCAGCCTCGACACAGTGCCCTTCCCACCCCAGCCACTACCCCAACACAGACCCTGCCCACAATGACACCCACCTCTGCTCCCCCCTCCTGGGGGGCCCATTCCACCCCATCCCCGGCCTCGGTCACTCCCCCTCCCTCCCGCCGGTGCCCCCAGGATCCTCCTGGGCTTCGGATAGGCCCTCTGATCCCTGAGCAGGATTATGAGCGGTTAGAGGACTGTGACCCCGAGGGGTCCCAAGACTCACCCCTCCATGGGGAGGACCATCAACCCTTGCTTCATGTGCCTGAAGGGCTCCGTGGTGAGTGTGAGGGTATGTGGGGGGTTGAGTGGGTCAGCGAGCCTGGGAGCTCCAAGGCTTAGCCCAGGCTGGCCTGGGTTGTAGGCACGGAGGACTAATCACTGGAGTGACAATGCCAATTTCTGACGCCATTCCCTCTGTGCCCAGGCTCCTGGCATCACATACAGAACCTGGACAGCTTCTTCACCAAGATATCCTTTGTGCTCAGCCTGTGGAGGGGGTCATGGGACTCCAGGGAGGGGACAGGGGTCTGGGGACAGTGGGGGAGTGAAGACAAAGGGCAGGTTGAACCTTAGACTTATTTCTTGATGAGCTTGCCACATCTACAGTTACCACCAACGGAATGGCTTCACCTGTATCCTGTTGGAGGATGTCTTCCAGCTGGGGTGAGAAGCCAATCATGTCCCTAAGCTCTAAGCTCAGCCCTCTCCTCTTCTTTCTTTCTTTTTTTTTTTTTTCTTTTAGACAAGGCCTCAGACTCCTGTTTCCTCCTGCCTTCCCCTTTCAAGGGCCTGTCCTCCCACACCCAGTATATGTAGTGCTGAGATCGAACCCAGGACTCCATGAATACTAGGCTGAGCCACAGTCCCAGCCCTCCTTTTGCATTCTAGTCTGTGGAGCTTGGGGCTCTGAAGGGTGGCGGTCGGGGGCCAGGCACAGAGAGCTTCAGGATTTTCTGGGGACTGGGCCAGGAGTCCACTTGACCCTTAGACCTGATCAGTGCCCTATCCCTCTTCTCAGGCAGTTCATTTTCATCATCACCTTCACCACCTTCCTCCTTCAATGCGTGGATTACAGCATTCTCTTCAACAACCGACCAATTAACCATACAAGACCTGGACCGTTCCACAGCAAAGTGACCTTGTCTGATGCCATCCTACCCTCAGCCCAGTGTGCAGAGAAGTGAGTGGCAGCCTGAGGGCCTCCGAGTTAAGCTCACAGAGGGATAGGAAGATAGGAAGCTCCCCTAAGTACACACCAGGTTGACTGATAGCTCCAAAGAGCCTTTGCTTTTGAGTCATATTTACCGTGTTAGAAACTAAGGATGAGGGAAACTTTTTTCTCTCTGTCTCCCTCCCTCTCTCCATGTGGGGTGTGTGTGTGTGTGTGTGTGTGTGTGTGTGTGTGTGTGTGTGTGTATATCCCACACACAGTGTGTGTGTGTGTGTGTGTGTGTGTGTGTGTGTGTGTGTGTGTTTCTAGGAACCAAACCCTGAGCTTCTCACATGCTGGGCAAGTACTGTACCCCTAGCCCTGAGGACAACTTTAAAATTCAGGAGTGCACAAGTGCACCTTAAATGGGCATCAGTGTGATGTGATATCTTCACTTGTCTTGTAGCTTTTGGAAAACTCCACTGCATACTCGTGGGAGAATACACATAGAAAGAATTAATGTTTGTGAAAAGTGTTGACTTTGTAGGCGCTTGTGGGGGCCTCACTGGGGACTGCTCGCTGAACCCCACTGAGACCTGCTGGTCTCGCTACCACTGGGCATCAGTCTCCCCTCTGTGGGCATCTTATCCTTTTGTTACCTTTCCTGTGCAACCCCCTGCAGGATTCACAACACTCCCCTGTTGGTCTTCCTCCTGGTCCTGGCTGCTGGCTTCTGGCTGTTCCAGCTGCTTCGCTCCATCTGTAACCTCTTCAGCTACTGGGACATCCAGGTGTTTTACAGGGAGGCCCTGCACATCCCCCCGGTGAGCCTACTGTGACAGGGTGGGCAGAGGACAGGTGAGAGTGGGGCCATGCAGAGGAAGAGCAGAAAGAAGCCTTCTCATACCTGCCCCGGGCCTGGAGTTGTCAGGAGGTGGCACTGCTACTTAGCAAGCTTGGCTCTGACTTGACTTAGATGGGTCATCTGCGATGACTTACAGTCACATGCTGGCAGTAAAAACAATGGCTGTTTAGAGGAAGGGCTGTCACTGGGGTTTCTAGAGCAGGAGGTATTCTGGTTGGGTGAGAAAGATCAGCCCAGGGTGAGGGAAGGGCATTCCAAGTCCCAGGGCAGGAAGTGGGAGGAAAACAGGGGCACCTGCAGGCAGTGGAGGTGGGCCGGCTTGCTTGTTTGCCTGAAGTAGAGCCTTCCAAGTAAGGCACCTGGAATCAAAGGTGCTCTCTTGACCTCTTGACTCTTGGTCATTCTGCACCCTTTCTTTCCACTCCGAGCCAGGCTCTTTCTAGCTCTGTCCCTAAGTTCATTATTAAAGGCATCTTCTTCAGGCCCATTTCCTTGCTTCCCCTCGAACAACCTGAGTCTTTGGAGTAGGGAGGTACCAGGCCTGACCACTGCTCCTGGAGGCTGCGACCTGGGTCCTGTTCTTCTAGCCCTTCCTTTCCTGTTCCTTCCAGGGGACTGGGAGACACTGGGATGGGCTGTAGAGGATGGCCCAGAGAGAATAACTGGACAGGGTGAAACTGAGTTAAAGTGAGGCACGCAGTTCACATGGGTTCCTCCAAATGAGGCGTGACAGCTACAGCCAGGGATGTTTGAAAGCTAATCGGGTGACGGCTATGCAAGTTACATGGAGTGGGGTGCAGCTGCGGTTCCCCAAACTTGGCTTGACAGAGGTGGTGGGGAAGGAAGGGAGTCTTGGGAACTGCCAGCCATTCTTTTATATGTGTGGCTGAGGGAGCTCAGAAAAGGAAGCCAGGTCCAACCCCTGAAGCACATGACTAATGGCCACTTGAGTGGCAGTGGCAAGCAAAGCAATTTAGAAGGGGCTGTTGGCAGCAGGGCTGGCAGAGGGCAGAAGTACTAGGTGGGGAGGGAGGCCACGAGGGCTGGTTTGCAGGCAGCCCACTGGGCCCTAGGGGTTGGCTGTCTCTCTGGAAGGAATCCAGGCCCCTGGGCTCACCGGACCTCTCCTTAGGAGGCGCTCAGCTCGGTACCCTGGGCTGAGGTGCAGTCCCGCCTCCTGGAGCTGCAGAGGAGCGGGGGTCTGTGCGTGCAGCCGAGGCCCCTGACGGAACTGGACGTCCACCACCGCATCCTGCGCTACACCAACTACCAGGTGGCACTGGCCAACAAGGGGCTGCTGCCGGCCCGCTGCCCGCTGCCCTGGGGGGGCAGCGCCGCCTTCCTTAGCCGGGGTCTGGCGCTCAACGTGGACTTGCTGCTCTTCCGCGGCCCCTTCTCGCTCTTCCGCGGCGGCTGGGAGCTTCCAGAAGCCTACAAGCGCAGCGACCTCCGGGGCGTCCTGGCGGCTCGCTGGAGGCGCACGGTGCTGCTATTGGCCGCCGTGAATTTGGCCTTGAGCCCGCTGGTGCTGGCCTGGCAGGTGCTGCACGCCTTCTATAGCCACGTGGAGCTGCTGCGGCGCGAGCCGGGTGCCTTCGGGGCGCGCCGCTGGTCCCGCCTGGCCCGCCTGCAGTTGCGCCACTTCAACGAGCTGTCCCACGAGCTCCGCGCACGCCTGGCCCGCGCCTACCGTCCAGCAGCCGCCTTCCTGCGCGCCGCAGAGCCCCCCGCACCACTGCGCGCACTGCTGGCCCGCCAGCTCGTCTTCTTCTCCGGAGCTCTCTTTGCTGCTCTGTTGGTGCTCACCGTCTACGACGAGGACGTGTTGGCCGTGGAGCATGTGCTCACTACCATGACCGCGCTCGGGGTCACAGCCACCGTGGCCAGGTTCGATGGCACAGGCGGGGGAAGAGGTGTTGATGTACGCCCCTTTCTCTGACCTGGGCGCAGGCTCCCTTCCCCTGAGCCAACCCTTCAGTCAGCAACCCTCCCCTAGCCCCCAGCCCTCAGCGGGGCATCCCAAACTCAGGCCCTCCTAAGTGCATCCTCATCCCCACGCTCGGCCCTCCAGGTCCTTCATCCCAGAAGAGCAAAGCCAGGGGCGCCCCCCACAGCTCCTGCTGCAGGCAGCCCTGGCGCACATGCACTACCTCCCGGAGGAGCCGGGTGCTGGCGGCAGGGCCAACGCTTACTGGCAGATGGCGCAGCTGCTACAATACCGAGCAGTTGAGTGCTGGGGCTCACATGGGTGTGGGGCTGACTCGGCGGGGAGGCTCCGTGGGGAGTGGTTGGGAGCGTCAGACCTTAGCAAGTATTCTTGGAAAGCCCTTGACCCTGATCACTGGCGGGGTCTTATCCGTAGCTTCCTCTCAGCCTCATCCATGCCGCCTCAGGTCTCCCTCCTGGAAGAGCTCCTGTCTCCACTCCTCACCCCGCTCTTTCTGCTCTTCTGGTTCCGCCCTCGTGCTCTGGAGATTATTGATTTTTTTCATCACTTCACCGTGGACGTGGCCGGCGTTGGGGACATCTGTTCCTTTGCCCTCATGGATGTGAAGCGCCATGGCCATCCTCAGGTTAGAGCCCTTCTCTGACACCCCACCCCCTCGCCCCCAAGGTTGTGCTGGGTAGGAGTTTGCTTGCCTTGCCAAAGCACACCCGGCTTCCAACTCCAGCTATGATGCTTGTCACCTGTGACCCTGAGTCTTGGTCCTGCTACTGTAAGGACAGTAGCAATAGCCAGCGACCCGCTTGTGAGACTGATATGCTGGTCTGTAAGCCCTTTATAGAGCTACTGGTACATAGAAACTACAGCAAATGGCAGCAAAGGCCCCCTCAAAAGCTATAAAGGTAGCTAGTGGGTGAAGAGTGGGGCACACTTTCCCTGGTCTTGGAGACTGGAGCTGCATAGGGGGGCAAAACATCAAGGCTGATTATATGCCCAGGCTGAGTAGCACATCCTGCTCTGCTGCTCCACTCCTGGGTTATCTTGAGCATATCCAAATCAAGGCCTCCATGTCCTTCATCTGGGGCATGTGGGCAGTATTTACCGTCCTGCCTACCTCAGGAGCCTCCATGTTCCTAACACTGGAAGGACCTTCTTCCTTGCAGTGGCTCTCAGAGGGACAGACGGAGGCTTCACTCTCTCAGCGTGCAGAGGATGGAAAGACAGAGCTCTCCTTGATGCGGTTCTCCCTGGCACATCCACAATGGCAGCCACCAGGGCACAGCTCTAAGTTCCTGGGGCACTTTCGGGGCCGGGTACAACAAGATGCAGCTGCCTGGGGTGCAACTTCAGCTCGAAGCCCCCCCACCCCAGGGGTGCTCAGTGACTGCACATCCCCTCTTGTGAGTCCCAGGCTTGGCTACACCTCTGCCCTTCCCATCCTCCATCTCTCCCCATCTCCTGTGTATAACCTTGTGTGTTGTTACCCTGACAGGCAGCTCAGTCTGTGGCACTCTTTGGTCCTCCTTTAGGCCTCTTATTCCTCCCTCCTCTGATGTCTTTTGCTTTCTCTCTTTTGTTCAGCCGGAAGCCTTCCTGGCTAACCTCTTGGTGAACCCCTGCCTGCCCCCAAGGGACCTGAGTCCCACAACCCCCTGCCCTGCTGCTGCCACAGCCAGCCTCCTTGCCTCTATTTCCCGCATGGTCCAGGACCCCAGGTGAGGGGTGAAGGCCAGACTTGTAGGGGAGTCTGGATTGGGGATGATCCTCCAGAAGGGAGCTGGGGTGCTGAGGGGATTTGGAAGGTGGGGTGTAGCTTGGCCCTCCCTCCTTTGTGGGAACATGCATCTTGACTGCTGCATCTTGTTTTAGCTGTGTGTCCCCAGGAGGCACTGGGGGCCAGAAGCTGGCCCAGCTCCCAGAGCTTGCTTCTGCTGAAATGAGCCTCCATGCCATTTACCTGCACCAGGTGTGTAGAGGGGTGCCAGAAAGAATATGGGAAGGTGAATAAAATGAAGCCTGGGGAAAGGGCCAGGACCAACAGGGTACCTAACAGGAGCTATGAGCTCTCTGTACCTAGCCTAGGGGCTTGGCCTTACCTCCTCCCACCCTCCCACCACCCCACACAGGAGGGAGCCCCTCACTCTTTTTCTTCCATCTAGCTCCATCAACAGCAGCAGCAGGAACTGTGGGGGGAGGCTTCAGCCTCCTCCCCATCCAGGCCCTGGTCCAGCCCCTCACAGCCTGCCTCACCTGATGAGGAAAAGCCATCTTGGTCAAGTAATGGTGAGACTGGCAGGGGGCAGAGGGAAAATCCTAGTGGCTCTTGAGCATCATTTCCCTGCTCACTTGATGTTTTTTGTAACCAGGCTCCAGTCCTGCTTCCAGCCCCAGACAGCAGTGGGGCACCCAGAGGGCCCGGAATCTGTTCCCAAGGGGGTTTCAGGAGCCCCCAGTCACCCAGAAGGAGCCCCTCCCAGGCCCCTTGCATTGATCGAGGACACCTCAGGTCAGTATTACCCAGATGGGAAGCCAAGCAAGGAAGGAGCAGGAAACTGGAGCCAGTCTTGGAGGGATGGGAACACTAGTTGAATTTGGGGTGATGGGTGTGGTCTCTAGAGCCTAGACTCCTGGCATGCTTACAACAGCCTTCTCTTCCTCCTCCCTCAGGTTCTGGCTTTTTCAGGAGACTAGATGGGGTGACATGAAGCCATCTCTCGAGGCCCCCCACAGATGACAGGCCCAGGATGCTTTATTTGGGCAGACTTGGAAGTTAATGAGGAGCTTGCCCAGAGCACAGAGTGGGAGATGACTGGGTTTGGACTACGAGGCTAAATGTGGTCCCCACAAATAAGGGGTCACTGGCCCCACTGGCTGGAGCAGTTGCTGGGAAGAAGTACCCCAGCATCCCTAAGGCGGAGGGCAGGGCCCAGGCAAAGGTCAAGCTCTGTGTTAGGGAAGCAGTGAGGCACATGGCCTGAGAGGCAGGGAAGTTCTTCCTGTTGGCTCCCCCCTTGAGGTTCCTGTGGGACTAGGGGTGGGACATGGGGACTTGTGAGTGGAAAAACTAGAGATGGTTTCTGTTTTTGGACTTCAGCACAGCTGTGATGTCTGAGGAAGTGGGTGGGGCTCCTCATCCTGTGAGAAATAAGCAGTAAGGATTGCTCATGGCTGTGCTCTGCTGTGAAGTTTGTGGCATGCCTGGCTCCTGATAGCTGAGGACTGCACCTGTTTTCTCAATCACCCAACTGCCTGTGACTGCCTGGAAACTGTTTTCAGAGTGCTGAGTCACAGAGTGTGTGTAGAGCTTCCTCTTAAAGAATCACCCCCTCCACATCTGTACACATTAAAGCACAAAACTTTAATTGTAATTCACAAGGGCTGGGTTAAGCATCTCATGACATCTGGCACGGTGTTTTATGATGAATCTTCAATAAATATTTGAATGACTTAGACTTTGAAGGCTTGATCCTCCAGAGAGGGGCAAGGGGAGCCTACAGTTCACCTAAAGCACACCAGGAGGGCAAAAGGATGTCCTGAATGCTGGGGACCAGGGGCCTTCCAGATTTAGGAAGATACCCCTCCCCCCATTCAGGTAAATCGGGCCTGGAGAGAGAAGACAGTTCTGATGGAGGCGCCTCGGGAAGAGAGGGACAGTGTCTGGTCCTGGTCAGCTGACCAGTGGGACAACCCCTCTCTCCGGGAACAGACTGGGTGGTCATGAACCAGGGTTGTCTGGGTTGGGCGGGTCGAAGGCCCAGGGCACTGCACCCCGCAACTGTCGCTCCTGCAAAGAAAAACTCTGGGTGCGTATACGGCTTGTCACCTCCTGGGTGCGCAATGTGAGCCCAAAAATGTCCTCGTGGTAGCGTTGCTGATCCTGCGGGGAGAAAAAGGGCTCAGCTGGAGCTGGGCGCGCACACCTTGCCCCGCCCCCCCAGCCCCACTCGGACCCCGCCCTTCGTACCCGCAGCACGCCGATGACGTCACCCGCCTCGTCCAGCTCCATGTCGCCCTCTGTCGCCAGAATTCGCTGCACTGTCTGCAGCACGCTGGTTGCCATGGTGACATCCCCGCACACAAACATGTGGCCTTGCTCGAGGCACAGCACGCGGTGCACTTCCGTAGCCAGCTCAGTCCTCAGGATGTCCTGCACGTAGGTCTAGGGGCGGGGCGAACCCGGGCTGTCAGACCACCCGGGGCGCACGGTAGGCCTGGGGGCGGGGCTAGGGCGGAGGTGGAGCCAGGTTACCTCCCCAGCCCTCCACCTCTGATACCTTGGGGCTGCCAGGATCCCTGGAGAAGGCGGTGTGGACATGTCCAAACACCCCGCGCTGCTGGGCGTCCAGCACCTCATCTCGGTAGAGATGATCCAGTTGGGAGCATCGGCAGCCGAACACCAAAGTCATGGGAGCCGGCTGCAGCCCTGTCATAGGGACACAGCGTCTTGGGGGGTGGGGGGCCTCGCCCTGGGCGCAGGCCTGGCAGTGTCAACTCACAGGTCACTCTCGCCCAGGATGATAGCTAGTCTTTTGTGTTGGAGCAGCAACTATCTTGGTGTTTGGCCTCTTGGGGAAATATAGGAAAGGATACTTTTGCCCAATACCCTGGCGCATCTCTGATTTACAGAAGGAACTAACTGCTCAGGTGGTGGACAGGGGTGGACCCTCGCTAGAACCGGCGCTACTGACTCGATTCTGTGCCCATGGTCTTGTGTAACATCTCAGGTCCCTTCCCCATTCCAGCCTTATTCTCCTCCTTAAACCGGCCTCTCAGTCACAACATCCTTTGATTGACACCCCAGTGCCTGAACTGAATATTCTTGGTCAGTTTTTTAGATTTGGCAGCATCTAGGTGAGCTCTGGCATAGTCCCAAACCGACCTGGAGCATCTCTCCTGTCTTAACTCTTGTCCTGTCCTTCTCAAACCTTTCTTTATCTTTAATCCATTTCAACACCTACTATATGCCAGGGACCAGGAAGGCAAACACACTGGGCCCAGCCCTTGCCTCCCGCCGAACCCCATCCATCCAATAAGCTTCTATTTACCTTTGGTCCTAGTTTCTTGTACTTTCCTTCCTCCAGCTCCACCCCTTTCCCTCTAGATTATATGGCTCCCTCCTGACTTCTGAGCAGACCCTTAGCCTCAGTCTCACCTTTACTCTCAATATCGTGCAGTCGCTCTTGCCAGAATCCCCGGAAGGGTGCAATGCCAGTCCCTGGGCCCACCAGAATGCAGGGCAAGTTGGGATCAGGTGGCAGTCGGAAGGAGGGAGCCCTAGCCAAAGAGATTCCATCAAATCTCTCCATGCTTTTTCCATGGTTCTAGTCATACCGACCTTCGACTATACAGACAGGAAAGCCCAAGGCCAATGACAAATGAGTCAATATTTGTAAAGTCTTCAAATTAGTCTGTGGCTCATGCTAAGGAAACTGAGCTGGGTGTGGTGGCTCATGGCTGTAATCCCAGCACTTGGGTGGGTGAGGCAGGAAGATTACCAAAAGTTGAGGGCCAGCCTGGGCTACAGAACCACCACCACCCCCCGCCCCCACCAAAAAAAGAAGGGGCTGGCATGGCAGTGCATACCTACAATCCCAGCACTTGAGACGTAGAGGCCGGAGGATTAGGAGTTCAAAGTCATCCTCACCTATACACAGAGAGTCTAGGCCAGCCTGGGCTACATGAGACCTCTGCTATGGGCAGAGGGTCCCTGGGACTGTCTGTGACTTCTAGGGACTGAAGGATATTTAGGTAATTCATTTTAGAAGATTTTAAAAATAGGCATGGCAGTGCATGCCTATGAGCCTAGTTCTTGGGAGGTGAAAGGAGGAGGATTAGGAATTCAAGGACAGCCTCAACTACATATGGAGTTTGAGGCCAACCTGGGCTTTATGAGACTTTGTCTTAAAAAAAAAAACACAAAAAAATATGAGGAAGGAGGGCAGACTTTTGGATCACAAGGGAGCAACTGATTGTGTTTATCTTAAGTAATAGCCATAATGTTGGTATATGGTTTGTTTTGGGTTGACAGGTACAGTTTATTTGTAATTTAGTTTCCTGGATAGGATTGGGTTCCTGGTTCCAGCTAGTGCTACTCTGGGGACTCCTCAGTTCCACTAAGACTGGGCCTCTGGATGCTGGAGGGCAAGATTTCTAGACATGGCTAGAGGGAATAGAGCCTGGAGTTCCTCCATTTCCCTCCAACTCCTCAGTTGCACCATGGCCAAGGGTGATCTTTGATCTAGCTGGTGCGTCCTGGATTGAGTGGGAGCTTGGGGGTCATGGTACCAGAAGTCATGCTTTCCAACATAGGCTTCAGCCAAGGACACAGAGAGGTGTGTAAGGACCACACTTTCACAAAGCAACAGGGTCACTGGCTAATCCACGCTGTCTCTGGGAACTGTAGTTTCAAGGCAGGACTCTAAGTCCAAGTTATTGAGGCCCAAAGCTCAGCCACAGTTCTGATGTGACCCAATGACCCAACGACCCAATGTCCTTGATGAGTTACCAGCTGACCCCATGAGACACCCCCCGCAGATTCCTCACAGCCCCCACCACGCATGTAGTACTTTCTTACTCCCTGCTTGTTACACACATGCCCTCGTCTGGTTGTCCTTCCCCAACCCATAGACCTCACTTACCCCCTGATGAAGCAGGGTACCAGGTCTCCAGCCTTGAGTTGGCTCAGCCACGTGGAGCAGACACCATAGTGAAGAGGGCCCAGCCCATCTAGGGGTCAGGAGGAGAGGCCAGTAAGGGACCTGTCCTGGTCCTGCGGAGACCAGGCTTTCCCTGTTCCCAGCCTCACCCTGGGTCCTGTATGCCAGCACAGCCACAGTGATGTGGATCTCTCCTGGGTGGGTGCTGGGTGCTGAGCTGACTGAGTAGTACCGGGGCTGGAGCAGGGGCAGCTGGGTGAGGAGCAGTGGGGCAGGCAGGGCCACTGATGGGAACTGCTCCAGCACCTCCAACAGCGTGGGGCAGCGGAACCACTTCCACTCTTCATAGCGTCGGGGGTCCTGGAGGGCATGATGCACTGAGCTGAGAACCCTGTAGCCTCAGAATGACTTCCCTTCTTGATTCCTACCTAGCAGAGCCTCCTTAGAGCTATCGGTGCTCAGTTCAGGTCAACCAACCCCTCTTTAAGACCTTGAGCACCCAGAGATAAATTAGTCGTCCTGGTGCCAGGTCTGGCATGTTGGCCAGGAGTAGCAAGTCCAGGGAGGACCTTGTATGCATGGGGACTTCCTACCACTAACTGCCCCCCAACTTGTCCTCCTCTTTAGCCCTTGCTCCTTGCAGGGAGGCCCCCACCTGGCTGAGGGCCTCAAGTTCCTGCTGTTCGCTGGACTCTTCGGCCAGGGTGCTGAGCAGTTGAAGGAGACGAGGACTGGGCGGGGAAGTGATGTCCAGGAAGAAGGTGAGAGCCTGTCGCAGCGTGCATGGGGGCAGCCGGGGGTCCCGTACCCAGCCGGGGGGAGGGCCACCTGGGGGTAGTGCACAGGGAGCTCTGAGGGAGGGGTTCACTGGGACTGTGTTCTGAGCTCAAGTTCACTTTTTGGGGACTGATCACATGTCACTGTGTCTTACTGGACAGCTTTTCCCTGAATGGTGGAATGGGCCTGTCCGGGCAGCCCCGTTGTGTTTGGGTGTTTAGCTGGACTGGGCTGGTCTGAGTTCCACTGCCCCCAACCCCACTGAGTTATCTTAACAGGTACTGTTTTGGCAGAAGATAGGCCAGCCAAAGAGAAAATAGTCTGTGGGGAGAGGGTGGCTATGGGAGGAACCTTTTGGGGTGCCCGGTGGGTTCTGAGAAAGGACCATATGGCAACAAGTCCAGCCTGACTGGAATGACACTGCTGTGTCAGGCAGAGCCCAGGTGTGAAGGGGGTGGCAGCCCTGTCAGTGCTGAGCTCCAGGGGATTCCTCTACTGTCCTGCCCCGGCCCACAGTCCTCACCAGGGCTTCCCTTCTCCAGCTGCTCCACGACCACGGGCTCTGTGGGTGGGGGTGGGTCCTCCACACGGCTCAGCAATGCCTCCACGAGTCCAGGCCGGTTGGGTGGGCACACACCTATGTGGTCCCCTGGCTGGTACTGCAGCCCTCCCTGGCCTCCGGTGTCCAGGCGCACCAGGATCGTGGCCCGGCTAGGTGTGGGGAGGGAAACAGTTATGGGGGTGAGGGAATGGTGAGGGGACAGGAGAATGTGGGAAGAGCAGGGTGCTGGGATCTAGGGGAGGAGGGATCCTGGGAGGGAGGAGGGGGGGTGAGCCATCTTCCTCACGTAGATTTGCTGCTCTGCAGGTTTTCCACAGAGAGGATCGTAGCCTGGAACATCTTCCGCCTGTGCACGTGGGTCAGGCCTTGGGGACGGGAGGGATAAAGGGGTCTGAGCCAGGGAACAGGGAGGGCCTGGCCTCTGAGGGAGAATTCTGCCCCCTCCCTCCCCAGCCAGCAGGGGCAGGTCAAGGCCGCACCTGGCAGCAGCTGCAGGCCCTCAGCCTGGGTACTCAGTCGATACCTCTGGCGCTTCCAGCTGCGTTTGGGGCTGAAGATGTCCCGAGCAGCGGCCTTGGCATCCTCTCCCACACAGAAGGTCTCACAGGCGGCCTGAGGGATGAGTAAGCGAGGACCCCCGGGCTGCTTGCCTCCTGGGAGCTGCCTCAGTGAGAAGTGGGGGAGGGGCATGCCACAGGAGGTGGGGCTGGGCCTAGCAGCTGCTTAGCAATGTCCTTCTGTGGGGGTGGACAGGGCAGCCCGAGTTCCTACTGGTGGGGTTCCTATCGGCAACCCCACTGGTGAGAGGGAGGATGTGGAAGAAAGAGACTGTGGCTCAGGCTGGTGCTGACCTGGGCACCTTATTCTCCAGTCTGTTTCATGACTTGGCCACTAGCTTGGGGACCCTGACTTATCACACCTGCTGGTCACTTGTCTCACGAGTCCTGATCCCATGTCCCTGGGAATACACTGTTTGCCATATGGTGGCTCAGTTAAGGCAGCTGTGAACTCAGACCCGAGTTCAAATTCTGACTCTATACTTACATTTTACATGCCTCAGTTTCCCATCTTGACCCCTTATTAGGTTCCAGAAAAGATTACATGAGATACTTTCCTTTTTGAAGATAAGGTCTTATGTAGCCCAGGCTGGCCTCCAACTTGCTATGTATTGTCTTGAACTTCTGACCTTCCTGCTTCCACCTCCCAGGTAGGAGATTACAGGTGTGTGCGAACACACCTGGTTTATGCAGAGCTGGGTGAAACCCAGGGCTTTATGCATATTAGGCAAGCACTCTACCAGCTGAGCTACCCCCAGCCCTATAGATACTTTATGCAGAGCCCTTGGCACAATGTGTGCAGAAGGTCAGTGCTAGCTTACTGCTGGGCTGGACGGGGTATGTGCTCTATCTGTCTGTTCCAGTCAGGTAGAAAGCCCATGAGCAGCTTGCTGATCCAGGGCTTTCTGGCGATTGGCTGGGCCATATCATCAGGTTGTTACAGTTTCTTTTCCAGTGTTTGTAGTCTTATATCTCTTCCTTCCTTCCTTGGCCCTCTCCCTTCCTTCTGATTCCTGCTGCTACCAGCCCACTGAGCACAGTCTTCCTGCTTCTCAGATTCTCTGATTCATCTGCATCACCGAAATGGTAAAACTTTATGATGTCTCATTGTGCTCAGACACTTCCAGTAGCTCCCTTTCTAGATTCTCTGGGTCTTATTTTTGACTCCTCCTTTCCCAATCTTGAACTATTCCTTCCTAGCAAACCCTGTTAGTCCCCTGCCTTCCAAGATGCCCTCCTTCTTGTCTTGGATCCATACTGGCTGGAGTCCCAGATGGATGACAGATACAGGCTTCCCTGTGCTTAGTGAACAGCATCATTGTGGAGAGGATGAACCCTGCCAGCTCCAGAAATTCCCCCACTCTGTGCCCAGTGCTTAAAAAGTCAGTCCCTGGAACACTTCCTTGGCTAGTACCAGCCCTCTAGGCCAGGCACTGTCCACCTTCTCTGGTCCCTGGCTTCCTGTACTTCCTGCTGGCCTCATCTTCGCCTTGACCTTTGTCTGACCCTCTGGACTTGTCTATCTCCTTCCATCCTGCCCTGCCTGGGTAGGAGTCCTGGTGCCCTGGCCCTCATCCACTCCTGGGGCCAGTTTGTGCCTGCCTGAGGAGCACCCCACTGCAGGCCCTGCAAACTTTTGGCTTTGTTTCTGGATAAATGGGAAGCCTCTGTTGGTAGGTCCTGTTGTCCACTACTTGAGGTTGGTCCCAGAATGGCTGGCTATGTAGTGGTAAAATGAGGGCAGATTGGGAAAGGGACAGGATTAGGGCCAGAGAACTACACAAGGATTAGGAGGGCAGTGAGCCTCCAGCCTCAGTATTGCCGGTCTCAACTACGTAGGCATAGAGGAGGGGTCTCAGGCAGAACAAGGGGCTTGGTCCAAGTCAGATGTAGGGCACCCAGGGGCTCACCTGGAAGGCAGCCTGTGCCCAGCCACGAAAGGCCTCCTCCTGGCCACAGAGCTCGTCACCCTGGCCCAGCTGTAGTAGCCGCTCCCCACCCAGCTCTTCTAGCCGTGTATCCACAGCCCGTGCAAAGGCACAGAAGTGGGGGTAGGCCCGAGATCCCAGTCCAAACACACAGAACCTGAGGTACAGGGAGTGGTTGCTGGAACCCCCATGCCAGCCCACATCTACCCAGGTGGCTTGTCTCCCATGCACCCCCTTTGGTAAGGACCCCCAACCTGAGGGTGCCCAGGGCCCCTGCACTGTCTGTGTTGCTAGATTCCTTCCTCTTGCGTCGCCAAGAGGACACCAGGGGGTCTGAGCATGAGACACTGTTGAATCGGATTTTGTAACTCCTGGTAAGAGAGGATAAAAACAGGGCGTTACAGGGAGACTTGGCCCAGGCTCAGCTAGGGGATAGTTTCAGGGTCCCCACCTCTGGGGTGAGAAGGGTTGAAGGACAGCCTTGAGATGGAGCTTGGCTCTGCCTCTCCTCCCTCAGAAGGAGCCCTCAGGACTATAGGGCAATTTGTGGTCTTGGGTCTGGAAGTGAGGAGGTCCCCAGGGAGGGAGGGCCTTTGGGGCTGGACTGGTACCCAGGCCTCAAGTCTGTTCTCCAGCTTGTTGGAGAAAGACTCAAGGCACCAGGGTAAGGTTCTGGAGACCTTTCCCCTTTAGTGTCTCCACATGTCTCTTGTCCTCCCTCCCCAAGTCCACTCACTTATGTTGCTCAGGCCTTGGGGAGCTGTTGTAGGGGCCTGACATCTCCATCAACGCTGCTGCAAAGCTCTGGTCAGGGAAGTGTTTGCATCATGGTTAGTTTTATTTCAAACTATATAGAAATTTAAAACCATTGCTGGTCCTTATTATTCTTTATTAGTAACTTCGAATTTTGTTCTGAAAATTTCAGAGACTTGACTTTCTGAAAAATTATCCAACGGAGGTATGTAAAGTAATAAAAGAGAAAGCCTAACCTTATTCTCCCTTGAGACTTAACCCCATGCGTACACGTATCCTGCTGACAGGTGGAAACTCTCTAGCCTGTGTCAATGTGCACATGTTCCTTGGCTCACAGTGGGGTTACATCCGATAAATACCCATTGTAAACTGGAATGGCTGCAGTGGAACATGCCCTTCACACATCTTAGTTCAGCCAGGAAGCACAGAGGAGAGCGCTAGTGGTTTTCCCTGGAGTTGCAGGGCTAAACTGGGGGGCCCAGCTACTGAATTCAAGGACCCTACCACGTCTCTCGTCTGGGCACAGATCCAAATTCAAGATTTGAAATATGATTTCTTTTGGTCTTTTTGAGACAGGGTCTCCCTATAGCACCAGCTGGCCTGGATTTGCCATGTAGACCAGGCTGGCCTCGAACTCACAGAGATCTTCCTGCCTCTGCCCCACAAGTGCTGGGATTAAAGGCGTGTGCCACACTGCCTGGCTTAATTGAAATACAGTTTCTAATGGATGTATACTGCTTTTACATTATCATGAAATAAAAAGTCACAAGTTGAAACATACTAAATTGGGAGCTGTCTGTACTTACATGCATGTATAAGGTTAGAGGGTTTTTTTTCTGTTTTGCTTTTGAATGGAACCAACTATATAACTCTTGCATGCTTTAAAGTCACCATGCCCAGCTTTGCCTGCTTTTCTTTACCAATGACCTACTGTAGACAGCCTTCCAGGCCAGAACTTCAACCTGACCTCATTCTTTATAATGGCTACATCATATTCCTTCACTGGCCTGTACTGTGGTGTATGCCTTCCTCTGAATGGACACTGGCTTGTCTACAAACAGTGCTCCAATACCCTTACACACATGCCTTGCATCCTCATTTTTATGGCTCAGTCAGGTGGTTCTTCGAAATGGGGTTGCTAAGTGACGGGCCTTAAAAACTGAGTGGGCATGTTGGGTGTGGTGGTGCACACCTCTAATCCTAGCACTGGAGAGGCAGAGGCGGGTGGATCTCTATGAGTTTGAGGCCAACCTGGTCTACATAGTGAGTTCCAGGCTAGACAGGACTACATAGTGAGACTGTTTCAAAAACAGAACAAAATAAAAACTGGGTGGGTGGCTGGTGAGGTGCCTCAGTAGAAAATGGTGCTCGGTATACAAGCATTCAGTCCCTGGAGCCCATGTAAAGGTGAGAGGAGGGAACCAGTTCCACAGGTTCCTCTGACCTCCACGTTTGTGCTATGTTACACACACACACACACACACACACACACACACACACACACACACACACAATTTGGTGGGGTGGTTGAATCCTGTTTGCAGGAGCAGTAGATGGGAGACAGCCCTTTCCTGTCCATGTCAACACTGGATATGAGCAGGCCTTGGTGCATTTGCTAGTTTGGGAGTGCACAGAGCTCTAGGGCCCTTTGTAGAGTGTCCTGCCCCCATAGGTATCATTTAGGTGGCCCAGCTCAGGAGACTGCCCCACATCTTGGGGCCACCATGGAAACAACTTAGAAACTGCATTAAACGAAGCTTCTAAATACTAAGTATAGATGGAGCTGGGTAGTGGCTCCATAGGGTTAGCATAGTCAGCAACGTGTGACCTGAACTTCAGAATTGGTTTTGTTGCCTGCCTGCCTGCCTTCCTCACTCCCTCCTCTCCCCCTCCCTCCCTCCCTCCCTCTCTCCCTCCCTCCCTCCCTTCTGACAGGGTCTCATATAGCCCAGGTTGGCTTCCAGCTTACTTGCTATGTAGCCAAAAATGACCTTAAACTTCTAATCCTCTTGCCTCCAACTCAATGGATATGCCTCCACACCCGATTTATGCAGTGCTAGGGATGAAACCCGTGGCTTCACACATGCTAGGCAACACTCTACCAACTGGCCTATGTCCCCAGCCTTAAACTCCATTGTACAGTCCTGCACGTTTTCACAAACTGGATGTGCATGTGTGATCAGCATCTCCTGAGTACCACCTGCATCCTGAAGTCACCTTTGTGCCCTATGCTAGGGTGGGGAGCAACCACGCTCCTGATCTCTAACCCTGTGTAGGAGCGTTGCCTGATTCTGAGCATTAAATAAAGCGAATCCTACAGTATGCGTTCTTCAGCTCCTGGCTTCTTCCACTCTTTGTTTTGGAATTCATCTGTATTGTGTGTGTTGTAATTTGTTCTCAGTGCTGCATCACATTTGAATTTATCACTGTTTATCTAATCTATTGTTGATTGACACTTGAATTGTTTCCAGTGCGGAGTGTTATAAGCAATGCTGCTATAAACATTCTTGTCCTATCTTTGTGTAACTGCCCCATTTTCTGTGGGCTGTGTTCCCTACATTTATTCCATTAACATTTGAAGGGTAAAATTGAAGTGCTCAAATTTTAAGAGTACAGTTCAAGCTGGCCGTTTGCCAGCTTTTTTGAAAAAAGAAAGTTAAACTTACATCTGCCCTATGACCCAGTAATTTCACTCCTGGGTATTTACCCAAGAGAAATGAAAACATAGCCCACAAAAGCCTGGTGCAAGAATGTTCGTGACAGCTTTATTCATTGTAACCCCAAATTGGAAATAGCCCAAGTGTCCATCAACAGAAGGGATAAACAAGCCAGGTCTGGTCACACAATGAACAGCACTCAGCAGGAGAAATGGACAGAGTACTGGACTGTGGACATGGAGGAATCTCCAAAACATGCTGAGCGGCTGTGTGCCTCCTCTTATATGGTATCTGTAGCAGGTGAAACCCATTTGTCATGACAGATGTCACAACTATGGCAGGGAGACAGACTGGCAAAGAGATCGACTTGCAGAGACTAGTGAGGGAACTTCTAGGCTGGTGGAAATGCTCTATATCTTGTTAGTAGGACCGCGGGTTATGTGCGTGCGTCTGTGCGTGCGCAAGTGTGTCTGTGTGACTTTTATGCTAAAGAGTTAATGCATAGTATCATTTATAGTTTGGGTGTCTGTCCCCAGAATTCTTTTATTGGAAATGTAATCCGCCAGATCTTATGTTAATGGTATTTGGAGGTCGGCCCTTTGGACAGCGTTGGGTTGGGAGGGTTCTGCCCTCATGAATGGTTTAATCCACTCATGGATTAATGGATCAGTGTGTTGTATTGGGAGTAGCTTTGTTATAAAAGCAGCTCTCACCAGCGAGGTGGTGCACACCTTAATCCCAGCACTCCCAGAGGCTGAGGCAGGCAGATCTCTATGAGTTCAAGGCCTACCTGGTCTGCATAGTAACTTCTAGGCCAGCTGGGACTACAGGGAGACCCTGTCTCAAAACGATCAAAAAAAAAAAAGAAAAAAGGCAGCTCTCTCTGGCACACTTCCTCTCTCTTACCATGTGATGCCCTCTGCCACATCATGATGCACATGGAGAGACCCCACCAGATGCTGAGCAGATGCTCAGACTTTTTTTTTTTTAATTTTAAAATTGTGCACGCGCATGCGTGTGTGCGTGTGTGTGCGTGCGTGTGTGTGTGTGTGTGTGTGTGTATGTGTGCGTGCCATGGTATATGAGTAGAGGTCAGAGGAGAATTCCCAAATATTGATTCTCTCCTACCATGTTGGTCCTTGGGGATTGAACTCAGGTCTTCAGGCTTGGCAGCCTGGCTGATCCACCTCACCAACCTATTTTTGATACTGGCCTCAAACTTGCTATATAGCTGTGGATAACCTTGAACTCCTGATCCTCCTGCCTATACATCCCAAATGCTGGGATTACAGACATGCGTCAACACGTCTGACTCGTGGTATTTTTCTTTAAAAGGCAAATCAGAATGAGGGCTGATGGGAATTCAAAGCTGCCATGAGGAGGTACTAAGCACTCATCAGGGATTCGGCACCTGAAGCTGGAACAGATGAGTGGGTGGAAGTGCATTGGACTTGGGCAGTCTAGAGGCTCGGGGTGGAAAGATAGACTAACAATAAGGCATTTAGTGGCAGTGCCTTAGTGTTTTTTACTTATTTTTATTTTTAGATTTACTGAGCAAGTGAAGGAAGCTGTTTAATCTATGCTGGCATCTAAACAGTGCTTAGATTTCTTTTAAGAAAAGTAAAAGGAGAGGTTAAAATAAAGAAGTGAGTGGAAAAATCATTGTTTTTCTCATTTCTCAAGACCTGGGAGCAGACTGATCTCTGTGGTCAGCCGGGAAGTGCCCCTTCCTCATTGAAAACTTGCACTGATAGGAGACAGTTTGGGGACTGAGGGGCCAAGGTTCCCAGTAGCAGGTCCGTTAGGGAGTGGGGCCACCTCAGCACATCCTTTCCATCCTGGTGTGTGTGGGTGCCTGTCTAGCCACCCCTATTTCCAGCCTGTTCCCCTCCTCTCTGTCCTGAGAGCCTTACCTCTCCATTCTCTGGGGGATCTCCGTTCCCGAATGTGCTGGTCACCACCAACACCAGTGCTTCATGTTCTAGGGACACCACATCGTACTCATCCATGCACAGGACCTGCAGCGAGGAGATGATGTCTTGGAACTTGCCCCGCGCCTGTCCCTATCCTCTTCTCTCTAGGCTTCCTTGGAGAACAAGGCCTGACTGGACCAACCCAGAGTTCTTTTGGATTGCAACTTTCCTTTCCTAACCCTAACCCTAACCCTAACTCTGACTTTTCTTTCTTTCTTTTTTTTTTTCTTGTCTTTTTGAGACAGGGTCTCCTGTAGCCCCAGCTGTCCTGGAACTCACTATGTAGACCAGGCTGGCCTCAAACTCACAAAGATCTGCCTGTCTCTGCCTCCCAAGTGCTGGGATTAAAGGTGTGCGCCACCACGCCCGGCCCTGACTTTTCTTTTTTGAGATAGGCTCTCATGTAGCCCAGGATTGCCTTAAACTATGTAGCCAAGGATGACTCTGAACTCTTTTTGTTCATTTGTTTCATTTTCTTTTGAGACAGGGTCTTTCTGTAGCTCCAGCTGGCCTGGAACTTGCTGTATAGACCAGGCTGGCCTTGATCTCACAGAGATCCATCTGCCTCTGCCTCCTAAGTGCTGGGATTAAAGGTGTATACCACCATGCTCAGAGATCCTGAACTCTTGATTCTCTTGACTCCACCTTTCATGTGCTGGGATTACAGGGGTGCACCAGCATGCTGGGCTTGAACCCTGACTTTTAAACCTCACCTGTCCATGTCGACAGACTCCTGCCTTTATCCAGTCCCCTGGCCCTCAGTCTTACCCGGGGGTCAAACGCCTTCCGGAAGAGCCTCCCCAGCTGCTGTGCATAGCTCTGGGCTCTGCCAGTCTCAGAGCCATACAGGATGGTTGCCTTCACGCGCTTTGCCATCACTGTGCCCATGAGTGAGGCAGAGATCTTCACTGCACTGTGGGCAAGAGTCGGGTGAGGGCATCCTAGGTGCACAGAGGCTGGACCTCCCAGGAGGGGATCTAGACCTCAGCACAGCAAGGTCTTGGGGTTTTACCACTAGGCTTGTCCCACTAGGGTATGTGTGTGTGGGGTGCACTCCTCAGGTACCCACTTGGCCACTTCCTTAAAGGTCTTCTTCCTGGTGATGCCTGTGCCCTTCGCTGCACTTCCCTTCCAGGGGTCTGGCTGCAGGAGAGCAGAAGACATAGGTTAGTGGTTTCTGTTAGCTGCCTAGACCTGTGCCCAGTGGGCAGGAGTCAGCAGGGTTGGGCACCTGGTAGCGGAAGGCAGGTGACAAGACATAGTTGACCATCTCTTGATGGAAGACAGGAGTGAGGCTGCTGGAGATGGGGGGCACGATCCAGGCCCAGTCAGCAGGGCAGCCCCCCCTGGCCTTTTGTTCGTTCTCCAGGTGCTTCATGAAGGAGGCAGTGGCGGCATGGTGGTCCACAATGGTCACTTTGGCGAGCTGAGTTGGGAGTAGCGAGAGGCTGGCCTCAGGAGTGCCCTAGAGATCCCTCCTCTTCTCCCCCACCACTGTCACCGCTGCTCATTCTGTGTCCTGAGTCACTGCAAACTTGACATGTTCTGTGTCTCCTCAAACCATCTGCAGTGTGCATGGCCATATTTTTTATTTACTTATTTATTTTTTGTCTTTTTGAGACAGGGTCTCCCTGTAGCCCCAGCTGTCCTGGAGTCACTATGTGGACCAGGCTGGCCTTGACCTCACAGAGATCCACCTGCCTCTTGCCTCTGCCTCCCGAGTGCTGGGATTAAAGGCATGCACCATCATGCCTGACATATAGTCATGTTTCAAGTTTAATTTGTAATAGCAACTCTGACTTCAGTGTCTGTGTGCCCTGCCAGCAACCCAGAATACCATTAACTGTTTTCTTTTTTCCTTTTGCAGTACTGGGTGCTAGGACTAGAACCCAGGGCCTCACACCTGCTAGGCAAATGCTCTTCCACTGGACCATATCCCCAATCCTGTCATCCTTAACTCTTGAGACCCCACAGAGCTATTCACCAGGCACAGGTTTCCTCAACCACCCTTTCTAGCATGCACAGCAGTCCAGTATCCAGCATGTTCTCCATTCTGGTATCAGAGTTTCCATAGGCTAGAGGGTCCCACAGTATGTCCTGGGAACAGAGTTACTGAGCAAGGTTCCTGGCAGCATGTAGGTTCCATACTGTAACACCTGGAATAGCACTTGTGTGTCCAGAGCTGCAGGCCCAGTGTGCCCCCACAGCACATGGACTTGGCATGTCTCAGGCCTGCCTCGGTTTCCATGCACCTGCCCCCCACCACGTCCTGGCCAGTGTGCCTGCGTACCTGGTAACTGTGCAGCACGGCCACATTAATCTCCACGGCCGCCTTGTCTTTCCACAGGGATGAGGTTGTCCGGGTGTCTAAATCCATACAGACGGCCACGTCCTGGGCCAGGAAGTGGGGCATTGGGAGAAGTAGGCAGCAGTGAGTGGATGGATAGAAGCAGTTAGGGGTCTGGGGGTTCGGTAAGATTTTTGCTTACAAAGGCACCATGGAGCAGAGAGGGGCAGTGGACAGGTCACGTCTCAGCCCTGACCCATCATTTCTTATTCTGAAATGGGTCTTGACCTTCTTTGAGACCAGATCCCTTTACATGGTGGTTCATACCCGTGATCTCAGCAGTTGTGATGCTGAGGCAGGAAGATTGCTATGAGTTTAAAGTCAGCCAGGAGAATGCACATGCACGCACACACACACGCACGAACGTGCACATGCACACACATACCAGGTCTCCTTTGAGAAGTGGGTGAAAACTGCATACACATGCACATACACTTGCATACATGCACACACTTATGCGTGTGCATCCCCTCTCCCAGCCTGGTGGCTCCAGAGCTCATGCCCATCCTTGGACTTGACTCATCTCACATTCTCTCAATGGTCAGCACTCCACGTCCCCTTCCCCGAGTGTCCTCTCACCTCAAGAATGTTGTAACGGTGAGGGTCACACAAGTCCCTCATGCCAATCTCTGAGCTCATGTACCAGCCACTGAAGGGGGCGGCAGGGAACTCAAGGCCCCCGATTTCTAGCAGCATGTTGGACACAGCTGGGAGGGCGTACCAGCGCAGGCCCAGGGCAGTGAACCACTCCAGCCTGGAAGGATCAAACTTGAATCAGCCCTCGAATAGTGTTGCCAGCTGCCTTCCACAGCCCTCCTCAAAGGGCTCTGGTGCAGCCCCACTCCCACTCTGGCCCTTTCATGCTCACGTGGGGTGCTCCAGGGACACCTCGAGGACCAGCTCTGGGGGCAGAGTGAAGAGTTCTGGGGACTCATCAGGGGCCTGGAGCAGCAGAGGCAGCACGTCAAAGCGACCATTTCCTGGGGTCCAACCATGCTGGACACAGAGCTATGGAGAGCAGGCAGAGGTGGGTTCAAGGGCTGTGATCCCTGACCTCTCCAGGGAACCTCTCCATCAGCTGTCTCCCATCCTTTCCTTCAGGGGCCCCTCAGTGGCTGGGTCTCCATGCCCACTGGAGGACCCTCTTCCTTTGCAGCCAGGGCTTGCCTTGAACTCCTGATCCTCCTGCTTTGACCTCTGAATGCTAGGGATTGTAGGTGTGCACCACCCTTCCTGGCTTCCCATCTCTCATCCCAAGGATGGTTCCCTCTTCATGCTCTCTGACCTTCTCGATTGGACTCTCCATGCTTTATCCCAGGGCTTCCCTGTCCTTGTGAGCCCAGTGCCCACCTCAGTGATCTCCACGTTGGCAGGGTCCCCTCGCACGGAGCCATCCTGTTGCCTATAGCCTGCGTAGCGTATCAGCTGGCTGTTCCAGATCCGGAAGTCTCCCCGGCCGGGGCAGCGCTGGGGGAACACTGTGATGGCCGAACTGACATGGAGAATGGAGCTGGTCAGAGCTCTTCCTTAGCTGCCACCCAGGGTGGGCTGGGGTGGGGGTGGGGGCAGGCACGCTGCGCGGGGCAGGGGCACTCACCGAAGGTTGCCTCGGTTGGTGGCATACTTGATGTGGTTGCAGATGTAGGTGAACATTTCCTGTGCAGTTCTGCAGTCCCGGGCATCAAACACCTAGGCCAGAAGGGGATTGGGGGACAGGGATGAGGAGAGAAGTGGGGGTCTTGAGTGACAGCTGCAGAGGAGCAGTGGCATGGGGCTTGCTGGGAAAAAGGCAGTGGACTTGCTGTTCATTGACTAGTGCCCTCTCAACATTTGCATCCCACTGAACCCCACTGCCTGGCAGCCCCGCCCAGTACAGCCTGATCTTCCCAGGGCATGTCCCCATCCCACCAGAGGCCGACTTGATACCCAGCACAGAGGAGGTACCTGCTCGTTACTGAGCTGATGCCTAGGGAGGCGCCCAGTTGATGAGGAGCCCACCCAGGGGTTTGGGCAATGTGTTGCTCTTTGGCCAGCGTGCTCAAGCCAAGACAGACAACCTTCCAAATCCCTTGAGCCAGTACAGGGATGGGAAGGGGTGACTGCCCTTGGTGGCCTCTGGGAACCCTGCCATTGCTGGCATCCTGATGCCAGGAGGAGAAGGCTGGTAGGTCCCACCCTGCCTGAGGGAGGAGGAAATGTGACAGGGGATGGCAGTGGTTGGCCCCTGGCCAAGGGAGGGCCACAGCAGGGAGAGGAGCCTGCTTTGGAAGCCTGAAGGGTTCAAAGTTGAGCTAAAGCTTTGAACCACTTAAAGAGTCGGGCGAGTGGCAGACAGGATTGTTCTTATTTTACTGGAGCCGCCTTTGGCATTGCTGAGCATGTGGCTTTATTCCACATTCTTTAGTGGCCACTTATGACTCAGGAGGTCAAGGTCATAGATTCGCCTGTGGATCTCAGGCATTTTTTAGTGCTGAGGCTGTTGCTGTAACCCAGGCTAGTTTTGTGCTATGTACTGGTGTGAAGGAGGGTATGGGGCTGATGCTGCAGAGGATCTCAGGGGAGGGGAGTTTGAGGTGAAGGCCTGGCTGAAAGGAGCCAGTTAGCTTTTCCTCTGAGCTAGGGGTCCCCACTCAGCTGTCCTCATGTACTAAGTGGGTCTCGTTATTTTTGCCCTACTGCAGCCAAGACCTGCAGGTGTTACCAACAGGCTGAGGATGGTTCAGGGGCACCTGGGAGCTGGGCCCTTAGCTTTTATGCCTTCACTGCCTAGCCCCTACTGCTCAGGGGAGCCTTGGAGCATCCTACTCTCCTTCCCTCTCCTTTCCGTCCCGAAACCCATTTTGGGCTGTGCCAGCTGATCATACCTGCAGCTTTCCCCACTGGATCCGGCCCACACAGCGGGGAGCATTGCGCCAGGCCTGCTTAGCTCCGAATACCAACTCACTTTCCCGGAGCTGGTAGGTGCCAGTGGCTGCCACCTCAGCCTCTACTTCCTGAAGCCGCTGGTCATGGGCCTGGGAGCCACCCCTGGGGAGGAGAAGGGAAGGCCATAGGCCTTGGTGTCAGGACAGTGGGGAGGGAGAGGGACTGAGAAGTGAGTGGGTGATTAGGAGAGACCCACCTCTTGATGGAGCTGTAGTACTGGTTGATGAAGTCCCTGGCCTGACCTAACAGCTGCTCAGTGGGTAGAGGACCCTGGGAGGGCCGGCTCTGTAGCTTCCTTGGAAATACCAGGGATCCTAGGCAGCGTCTTGGGGTACAAGGTCCATCCTGAGCCAGAGGGACAGAGAACACAAAGGTCAGGATTGGGTCAGCATGCAGGGTCAGCTGTGGGTGGCAAGGGCCGAGGCAGGGGCTAGGCAGAGGAAGGGAAGTTCCAGAAGGCATGGACATAGGTCAGGGTTAAGACTGGAAATGGGGTGAGGTCAGACTGACAGGGTAGAACTTGGTTGCTAAAATCCTTGCAATAGCCCTTGAGTCCTCTGGTCCTCCCAAATCCTCACCATTTTTTGGAAAAAAGGGCCAAGTTAGAGCAAGGTGGCACTTTTCACATGGGCCTCTGCCTGGGACCAGGCCTCAGCCAACCCCCATCCCACCCCTAGAACTATGAATGGGCCGGTCCTTACCTGCTGAGCCTGGGCACTGAGGGTGTCGTAGGTAATGCTGCCCACTTCCCAGTTCTTCACTCGAGGGAACTTGGGTCCCTCTGGGGGCCGAGTTAGTGGGGAGCTGTTGGGATCCAGAGATAGACAGTCATGGGGGAGAGTTTGGTTTTTTTTTGGCCTCCTGAGTATAGCTCAGAGGTGTCTTGTCCTTGTATAGCATCTGTAACCCCCCAGGTTTGGGTCCCTTGCCTACCATGGGCTTCCTGACATTAAAAAAATTTTTTTAGTATTTATTTTTCTTTTATGTGTATGAGTGTATTGCCTGCATGTGTATAAGTGCACCTGTGTCATGCAATGCCCTCAGAAGTCAGAGGAGGGCATTAGATCCCCTGGAACTGGAATTACAGATGGTTGTTAGTTGCCATGTGGGTGCTGGGATTTGAGCCTTGGTCCTCTGAAAGAACAGGCACTGCTCTTGACCACTGAGCCATCTCTCCAGCCCTGGCTTCCTGACATATTTTGTCAGTCCTCTTACCTTAGGAGGTAGGCAGTGCCTTCTGTGCCCCCCACTCACAGACAAGGGCCTCGAGGCTAAGAAAAATAAATTCTGTAGCAGAGAGTAGTGTCCCAGCATTCAGCTAACCCTGGCCACTCTGCTGGCCTGAAGCTCTGGCCCAGGCTGGTCCTCACTCCTTGCGTAGTGCCTTTTTGACTCTTCTACACCTGAGTTTCTGTAGTTTGAATGTATTCTGCAGCTTTACAAGTTGAAAATTTGGTCCCCAGTGAAGCAGTGTTGAGCTGGAACTTTGGGAGGTAATGGGGTAGAGAGGGCTTTGCATTGTAGACTCCTAGTCGGTGGACTGTTGGGATCTAGTGGAGTGGCTCTGTCGTATAAAAAAGCTCTCTGGCCTGCCTCCGTGGTCTGGGTCCCTGCTATCAGATGCCCTCACTGCAGCGGATGAAACATGAGGCCCTGGGCAGAGAGAGGCAGAGGACCTCAACCTTCTGAACAGGGAGTGAAGTAAACCTCTGTTCTTTCTTTTGTTGGGGTGCGGTGGGGGGTAGCGGGGGGTTGTTGAGACATGTTTGGCTGGTCTTGAACTCTATGTAGCCAAGGATGGCCTAGAACCCTTGATACTCCTGCTTCCACCTCCCAAGTGCTGGGATTATAGTGAAGGGCCACTACACTGGCTCCTAAGCCTCCATTTGTCATTATACTCCGTCTCAAAGTACTGCATTTTTGGCGACTGGAAATGAAGTAGGCATGGACCCCACCTGAGGGGGCTGAGCAGGGAGAAGCCCCCACAGGGATTCCTCAGCTCTGATTTTATACTCCGTCTCAAAGTACTGCATTTTTGGCGACTGGAAATGAAGTAGGCATAGACCCCACCTGAGGGGGCTGAGCAGGAGAAGCCCCCACAGGGATTCCTCAGCTCTGATTTCCCACTCTCACCCCTCTCGACAGCAGCCGCAGCCATCGTGTGAAGGGAAGCCTCTGAGGCCTTATCACTTCCTCCCAGAGCCACCAGCCTGCTCAGGAGGAAGGGAGGGACTCACAGACCCTGGTGGCCTAAGCAGCAGCATCAGACCCTCAAGCCTTGGTGGGAGCTACTTGGCCTGACACCCCACTGGGATCCCTTGTCTTTCTTCTCTTCAGGGACCTCAGCCCCAGGGGAAAGAGCCTAGTAGTTCTGTCTCCCCTGCACCCCCAAGCGCCTGAATCTCTGGTACCAACTCTCTCCTGTTCTGTGACATTCCATTCTTACTAGAATGCCCCTCCTCAGCTCCTGTCTTAAGTAACCATCACTACTGTTTGTTGAAGGCTTCCTGAGACGTAGAACCTTCAGCCACATGAGGTAGGTAAGCACAGCCGAGTCCCCATTTTATTCACACAGAGGTCCAGCGAGGTTAAGTAACTTGCTTGAGATTAAACAGCTCTTGGCAGCAGAGCAGCATTCAAACCCTGGCCCAATTCTGTAGCTGGCCCCCTTGTCCCCACTTTTACCCTTTCCCCATTGGCCTTGTTCCTGGTCTTTCTTCTCAGCTGACCAGCCCTGTCCTGTTCTGTTCACACAGGTCTCTTTTTGCCTTGGTGACCTGGCCCTCTTGGATGCGCTGCAGGCTCCAGCTTGTTCAGGCCTAGTTTCAGGTCTCTACAACCCCTCTTGGTCACACATCTCACCTGCTCATAGCCATGTGGCCCTCACCTGTGGTCTGGTGCTGGCGGGGTCGGGGATGGGGATGCTGGTGCCTGGCTAGGCTCTGGTGCTGGAGAGGCTGGACCTTGCTTGCCACATAGTCCGAGGCTCAGCCCGAGCCCGAGGCCACAGGGTGGCCCAGGCTCCTGGCCCACACTCTTCAAGTTGCCCATGTCGGCTGCACTTCAACTCTGCAGCCTGCTCGGCAGAGTCCCAGCCTTTTCCTTAGGAAGCTGGGAGTGGGCTGAAGGGAGGGGGTGGTGGGAGGGGGCTCCCTGGTGCTGGCCCTCGCTCCGCCCAATCTCATACACAATGGAACAGGAACCAGGACGGCTGGGAGGCTTTAAAGCCTCAGGCACGCCCGCTGACCCAGAGGGTGGGGGCCCGGACGCCTGGGTTCCGCCACGAGGACTAGAGCTGATAAGTGGGAACCCAGGTGTGGGGGAGGCTTGGGGCCGGGTGCAGGAGCTGGACTTATAGGGAATGGCGGATGAAGTACCCAGAGGGTGGGAAAGGCGCTTTGGTGGTCTTAGGCCGCAGCATCCGCTCTGAACACTGGGTCAGTAGCAGGGGAGATGGAACTCCACACTCCTAGCGACCACAGGGACCACTAGGTTTACTCTGGTCCTCTTGTTCCCCATTTTTCCCATCTCAGAGTCCTTCAGGGGTCTTGGGGACACACACCCAGCAAGGACACAGTGACCTTTTGTTCTTGTGGCTAGCATTAGGGTATCCCTCCCTCCCACCTCAATTTCCTGGAACCCCACCCCCATGACTCAAGTGGGGGGCACAAAAGGGCAGGAAGCTGATATCCAGGGCCTCCACCCCCTAATCCTGTCATCCAGTGACGCATGCTTCTCTGAGGCAACAGGTCAGTAGAGAGATCTAGCAATCAGGGAAGAGGCAGGATGGCCCAAAGGGGAGACCTTGGGGGCCTACCGAGTGTGGCTAGGCAAACTACAATTCCCAGAATGCAAGGGAGACACAAATGGCACCCTTTGGGCACCTTGGGCAGAAGTGCATGCTGGAGTTTGTAGTTCTGTGCCATCTGGGTGCAGGCTAAAGACCAGGAGCTGGATATCTGGGTGCACAGGGGTAGAAGCCTTGTCGGTTTGAGACTATAGAGGCCAAAAGAGAAACTACAAGAAAGAAACAAAAGGGAAGCTGAGAGACAGGGAGAGGCAGGGACTAGGAGAGGCAGACAGGCAGACAAACAAACATGTGAATTTGTGTTGGCCGGACTCCTTTGAAAAGCAAGGAAGGATAAGATTGGGGTAGGTCTGGGTGGGGGGCCAGCAAAATCAGCCGGAAGCAATGAGCTGAGCTGACCTCCGGAGTCACCAAGAAGGTGAGGTCTGCCAGTTTGGGAGGGTAGAGGAGAAGAGGACTCACAAATAGCACGCCCTTGGACGAGAGTGCTCTGGCCTTGCTCGGGGAGGGTCAGCAGGAGGCTACTGGTTGCCCTTGCTCAGTCCAGTTTGCTCCCAGGTCCCTGGGCTTGAGGTTCCTACCTATACCCACTGACTTGCCTTCTTAGAGAGGTGGTGGTAGAGCTCTGATACTCAGACATTTCCATCTAGAGAGACTGGTAAGTTCTGATCTGGCCCCCTTAATCAGCCATCACTTTAAAAATGACCAATCAGGGTTGGGGGTTTAGCTCAGTGGTAGAGCACTTGCCCAGCAAGCGCAAGGCCCTGGGTTCGGTCCTCAGCTCCGGAAAAAGAAAAGAAAAAAAAAAACCCCGACCAATCAAGGACTCCTCTTTCTGGATATCAGTTAAGGGAGTTATGACTGGCCTAAGGTCAAGACTATAGCCAGAATCAGCTGCTGACACCCTCACAGCTTCTTGCCTGTGCCGTAGCCCCTGTTGGGGATCTCCTGACCCTGTTTTCTCATTCCCTCCTTTCCCACCACCGCCAGATTCCTTTCAGGGTTTACCTCATACTTTCTCACCACCTGAGACCTTCAGCCAAGGTTAAGGCCACTCCAACGCACCACGTCGGTCCTGTTAACCTATCTCACTGCTCACAACCCAGTCTAGACAAATTTGCTTTCTGAGGGATTCCCAAACACGCCTGTGCTTTTGTGCCTCTGGGCCTCTGTTTATGCTGTCTCCTCCACCTCTGCTTTCCCCTCTGACCTAGTTAGCATTCTGTTGCTGTGATAGAACATTGACCAAAATCAGCTCGGGGAGGAAAGGGCTTATTTCAGCTTATAAATTATAGACAATTGTTGAGGGAAGCCAAGGCAGGAGGCAGGAATTAAAGTAGAGACCACAGAAGAAAGTTGCTTACTGGCTTGCTCAGCTACCTTTATTATACAGCTCAGGCCCATCTGCCTAGGGAGCCTGGCCCTCCTACATCAATTACAGTGAAGAAAATGTTCACAGACAGTTGGACAAAGGAAGTTCCTCAACTGAGGTTCCTTCTTCTCAGGTGACTCTAGTCTGTGTCACATTGACAGAGCCTAATGGCACAGTCTCATATTAGAGAAAATGTTTCCATCCCCTCCTGGGTCAGCCTTGGTCTTGGAGGTATCTTGCCCCATCTCCCTCCTAGAGAGAAGATACCTGCTGCAGCAGGGCAGGTGACTGACAACTTGTAGTTGTGATGCCTGTAGGATCTGCCTGGCATTCAGTCCAAGGCTCTCTGCTTCCCTGGATGCTTTAGCTAGTCCATAAGCCTGACTCCTCATTCCTGTTCAACTAGTCCCCTCCATGGCCATCTTGATACCAGGGTCCCCTGCTGGACTGGATGGGCCCCCAGAAAGCACTATCCAAGGCCTTCCTTACCTGCTGCAGACATCAGACCCACATCTTCTTTTGGATCTTTCCTTTGTGTGCTTTTTAGCCCTCTTCCTGTTCTCTCTCAGACATTACCCCCAGTAATGCTCCAGCGCTTGGGGTTCCCTCCTCCTCTAGCCCCTTCCTCCATACTCCCTGGGGCTCTTTGTTACCCTGTCCCAGGCCCTGTGTACATCTCTTCCTTTGAGTCCTCAGGGCTATGACTTTTAGGCAGCCTTCTCTATGTATGAGTTCCTGCCTGAGTGAACTGTGTACTCTAGAAATATCACTTCTGCTTCTGGGGCTTCCCTGATGGGTCTGGGCCCCTGCCTGGAGTGAGCATTTCCTAACACTAGCTTGTGTTGCTGCAAAGGTTATGTGGGCATCAGGCACCCAGGGCTGTGTTCTACAGGCCATGGGGAGGAGCTCTGAGGACAGGTGAGGCTGAAGCGACATGGCTGGGAGAAGGGATAGATCCAAGAGGGAACACTGTCCAGCCACAAGAGTAGATGCAGAGTAGATGGGCTCCATTGGGGCAGAGATGCCATGGCAGGCAGGTTCAAGAAAATAGGCAGATCAGATCCTCCCTCAGCAGGTGAGGCACACTCCCAGCCTGTCCTGTCTTTCACTCATGGGGGGATTACAGTGCGTGGAGGAGGGAGAGGCAAAGAGGCTCGCCAAGAGTCCTAAGTCATAGTTGCAGAAGAGTCATGACTTCTGGATTTCTGTTGCATACAGGGTAGCTACAGAGAATTATGAAAATGTATCACGAATGCCAAAAAATCTAGAAGAAAGAATCTAAAATGTTTTTTACCATCTTTGAAGAGATTAGATATGCTTACTCTGAATTTTTTTGGGTTTTTTTGAGGCAGGGTCCAGCTGGCCTGGAACTTGCTGTAGCCCAGGCTGACCTTGAAATAACAGAGACCTGCCTCCTTCTGCCTCCCAAGTGCTGGAATTAAAGGTATGTGCCACCACATTCAGCTGATTTTTATTATTTTAAGCTGGATGTAGCCCAAGTTGGTCTTGAACTTGCTGTGTAGCCAAAGATGGTTTGAACTCCTGATCTTCCTGCCTCTGCCTCCCAAGTTTGGGATTATAGACATGTGCCACCATGCCTGGCTCACCCTAATTTCAACAACTGTACAGTGTATATATGTAATGACACATCATGTGTTGGTACCTTGTGAATATGTATAGTTTCCATGTCAATTAAAAACCAAAAGTGGGTATGGTGGCACACACCTTTAATCCTAGCACTCAGGAGGCAGAGGCAGGCAGCTCTCTGTAAGATGAAGGCCAGTCTGGTCTATATAATAAATTCCAGGCCAACCAGGGGTACAGGGAGACCCTGTCTCAAAAAACCAAACAACAATAATGGTCCCCTCTCCCACCAACCCAAACCAATCAAAGACTGACCAGTGGCCACTCTGCCAGTTGCTGAGTCTTCCTCCAGGATGGGGCCTCTTCCTCCCTCCCAGGGCATTGTAGGCTCTGCCTCTGCTTCTTGCCTGCATCCCTGCTAGACCTTGCTAGTGCTTATGCATCTTAGCTACTTATGCTTGCATGCACAACTGCATTTTATTTATTTAACAACTGCATTTAAAGAGTCATTTCTGAAAATAATTTTTTAAAACTTTCATGGGTGCATCTTTGTTGAAAGGAAATCACACATTTAAATTGTGGGGTGTTGGCTGGAGAGATGGCTCAGTAGTTAAGAGCACTGACTACTTTTGCAGAGGACCTGGGTTTGATTCCAGCATCCACATGCGGCTAACAGTCATCCGTAACTCCAGTTCCAGGGGATTGGACACCCTCTTCTGACCTCCACAGGCATTGCATGACACAGGTGTACTTACATACATGCAGGCATTACACTCATACACATAAACTAAAAATAATAAAGCCTGGCGTGTGGCACACGCCTTTAATTCCGACAGAGGCAGGCAGATCTTTGGGAGCTCAAGGCCAGTCTGGTCTACATAGTGAGTTCCAGGCCAGCTGGGGCTACAGGGAGACCCTGTCTCAAAAAAACAACAAAACAAAACAAAACAAAAATTGTAGGGTGATGAGCTGGACGGGGCTTTGTTGATGATCTGGTTGGGGGCCCAATCATTCCATTCCTGACTGTGCTGGTGTTGCAGCTAACTGGTACGGTTAACTAAGACCTCGATCATCCTTGGCTCTGGGTGATAGGGTGACAGGCTCCTGTGGATGAGTCGGGGGTCCCCTTCCTGGGAGGCCAGGTCCCTGGTGCCTGCTGCACCCTCCTGGACTTGGAGAAAGATTCAGTTCTTGCTTCTGCCTTCCATCTCAGACCAGAGTTGGGTGCAGCACTGGAGGAGAGTGAGTGCCCTAATCTCAGGGTACCTGTGTTAGAAAAGGAAGGTCCTGGGTCTTTGCAAGGCATTTGTATAGGGGAT